TGGGAAAAGGTGGACAATCTCCTCCAGTGCAATTTATAGCCTCTGAAAAGCCACCGGAGCGCAGCTAGGCATCAGATCTAATTCCACAACACATAACAGCCAAGAATGAGGACAAGAAAAATGTATCCTCCTAGATTTTTCTCTCCTTGACTTCTAAAGCCAGATCCCTTTTTTTTAATGGACCCCCCAGCATAAAAAAAATTGCATCTGAGATCTAAACTTGTGCTTAAGAGATTTCCTTTTCTTATTAAAAGAGACCTGACTTCTCTTTAGTGTTGTGCCCAACTTTAGTGTGCATATGAATCTCCTAGAGAAACTTCTAACAGCCCTGTCTTCAAGGCACTTGGCTGTTAATCGAAAGGCAGTGATTCACAAACCCCAGCCATTCTGTGGGAGACAGATGTGCCCATCAGTTTCCTTGCAGCCTTGGAAACCCTATGGGCAGTTCTGCTCTGTTCTAAGAGTCATAAGATGATGGTGATTTTTTTTCTAAAGTGGGAATTTTCTAGGAATCTTATAAATGCAGAGATAGTTCTGGGGTGGGACAGTAGATTCTGTATTTTCAGTAAGCTTCCAAGTGATTCTTATGCTCCTTGTCCACAGACCACACTTTGAGTCACAGCAGTACAGTGGAAAGATCAAAAGCTTTGAAATGAGACAGGCTTCGTAATCCTGGATGCCCAGAGCAAACATCCTGACAGTCACCTCTTCACAGTTAACCTTTCTGAACCTCAGTTAGTCTCCTTTTGAATGAGATCTGTATCTACTTCAGGCAGTTGTCAAGAGGCTAACATGAGATAACACATTTTAAAAACTTGTAACAAGGCCTCATCCCAGAACATGCCCATCGAAGTGATAGTTCTCTTTCTCTTTGGTCTGGATGTTGGGTACCATTTGACTACCACTGATAGCAGCCTGTGAACAATGAGCCGAAACCTCACCCTCTCCTTCACTGTCCTCATGGCCTACGCCATGCCCAAGCCCCTCATTGCACTCACTATCCCAGTCGTCTTGTTGAGGGTCTTCCTCTCATTTTTTTGCTAACCCTCTACTTTTCCAAGCAACATCTCTCTGGGAGGTAGAGAAACTTGTGGTCCATGAGGTTACAGCTGCTTTCCACAATGTCTGCTAGCTTATACAAACTATAAGTTTTTCATGAATTCTGGGGTTTTTAAAGAATTCTGCTAGAATTTTAGGAACATTAGAAACTTAGGGGCCTCACATTTATGCAGAGACTTTTTAAATGGACTCCTTTCTGGGGTAATTTTTATTTACATGTGTTACAAAAAGGGAGGAAACAATAAAAATAACCCTCCTGATTGGGGCTTTTTGATGAAGGATGGAGGTTGATAAAGATAATGATTAGCACTAAGAATTCCTTTCCTTTACCTAATTCCTCCTCATAAATTCAGTTGTCTTTCCTAGCACACTTGATTGTCCTGGTGGGCAGGATATCCTTGGGAAAACTCTCAGTCTCTGATTACTGAAACATATCTATGGCATCCTTTGACCATGACGTAAATATCCATTCAGTTTCAGCAATACAAGGTTTGGACTGTGGATAAAAGTGAGGGTTCAATCCCAGAGGACTGGAAGCTAACTCATTGATGTTGTTACGTGCACTCGAGTCAACTATGACTCATAGCAACTTTCTGAACAATGAATTGGAACCTTGCCCTCTCCTATACTATCCTGACAATTTGTGCCATGTGCAAGCCTATTGTTAGGGTGACTATATCAGTCCATCTCCTTGAGGGTCTTCCTCTCTTTCACTGACCTTTCCCAGCATGGTCTTTTCCCAAGGACTGGCCCTTCCTGACAAAATGCCCAAAGTATGTGAGATAAAGTTTCACCATCCTTGCCTCTAAGAAACTTCCTCCAAGACAGATTGATTTATTCTTTTGATAGTCCATGATGTATTCAATACTTGTCTCCAACACCACAATCTCAAGAGTTCAGTTATTTTTCAGTCTTCCTTATTCACTGTACAACTATCAGATGCATAGAAAATAGTTGAAAATACCATGCCATGCATTGGGCACACCTTAGCCTTTAACCTGACATTCTTGCTCTTTAGCATTTTAAAGATGCCCTTGTAACATATTTTTCTCAATATAACATATCAATTAATAGTCTCACCACAGTCATCCTCACCCTTCCCCAAAGCAGAAGCTGGGTTGAATTTTCTGTTATGTCCTAAGATAAGCTGTTCAAAAATGTGACCCAACATTTCCACTCCTAGTTATATGTACACGGAAGACTTGAAATCAGGAACTCAAAGCAGATATTTTTACACCAACAATCCAAGTGTCCATCAACAGAGGAATGAATAAACAATATGTGATATATCTATGCAGTGATATATTATTCAGCCATAAAAAAGAAAGAAGTACATGCTATAAATGAGGATGAAGTTCAAATACATTATGTTCATTTGGAGGAAAAAATATAAAGGACACATCTTTTATAATTCCAGTTAAATAAATACTCTGAATAGGTAAATGTATCCACAAGAATAATAGATTGGTGACTACCAGGAACTCAAGGAGGAATAGGCAGTAACTACTTAATGAGTATAACGTTTCCTTGTGGGGTGATGAAATTGTCTTTTAACTAGGTAGAGATCATGGTTGAACAATATTAAGAATAGACTAAATGTCACAGAAATGTACACTTTGACTGGTTAAGCTTATGCTATTTGAATGTCACTTAAGGGGGGGAGGGGGGAAACGAGTGTCAGAATCCTCCAGAAAAGGAAATGCTACAGTTTTAGTCCAAAAGTCAGACTTCCCATCCAAGAAATAAAGGTTAAAAAGAAGCCTACTGACAATGGAAGGAAAATGAGTGCATGCTGTGGTTAGTCACTTTTCCCAATCAAAAGAAACTGAAAAAGGTCAATGAATGCAAGACAAGAATGTGGCTTTTCATCATTAAGACGCAAATATTCCATTTTGGTTAGCAGTAGATGTTCTGTCTTAGTTGGCTCCACAAAATGATCCCTCCAGATAGAAGTATAGTTTATAGACAATTAAAGAGACAGCACTAATGAGGAGCATGTTATCCTCCGAAAGACATCCGCTGTAAACACTAACAGACTGCAGGCCTCTGCATGATTAGGGGCGTTTGAAAGCCTGGGCTATGATATATAATCAAAAGAGCTATATTCTAACTTAGCCACAAACCAAAACAAAAATGGGGGAAATTAGGAAAGAGAAAAATAAAGATCAGAATCAAAGCATGTTTTGTTCCAAACGTGCAACAAATGACACAAAATAAATTCACTGGCTAGAAATCAGAGTTTGAATGAAGCCAACACCCTCTCAAGTCATGTCAAGGCTGAATATCTTTTATCACAATTCTCCTGAGCTGTGAAGAAGTGAACATAGACAACAGCCTCACTTTTGTCATGTTCTTTGGGAGGTATTCAAATATATTGGCCTCACTACTGCATACAGTGAATATATCAAGCTCCCTTAGGTGAGTAAATGGTCTCAACCTTGTTAAACTCTTCTGGAAAGAAGAGCAGGAATAACCCACCATCTTTAAAATACATGGATCCAGTGAGCAGCTTTTGCAAAACTCACCTCAGTTAAAAGAGGCAGGGCTTAGGTTATCCAATCACATTCTCCATTCAATGAACTTAATCTCCATCAGTGTTTTCCACCCAAGAGAAATTTCTTCCATGCTTCCCTGTATCCCTGAGGATCAACGTCTAGAGGAATTGGCAGCCTAAGAATTATGATGCCTGCCCTCCATTTCTCTATCCTGATGTGTCTGTAATGTTAAAACTGCATCTTGAGAACATCTCAGAGACGGAGCATGAGAGTGGTTGCAGAGTTTGAAGAATGTATTATCACTGAATTGTCCATGTCAAAAGGGTTGAGTTACTATCTATGTGTGTATTCCCAACAATAAGTTTTTTTTTCAAAACTCCATCTTCGGTTGTATATCAAGATTCTTCATTTCGTGTTAGCTGGGATATTAGGGGAACATTATAAACATTCTCTTAAGATAGATAAATGTATTAACTGGACAGTTTATATGGGAAAGTTTACTTATAAGTAATGGAAGAAAATATAAGACATAATGGCTCAGATTCCTGTCTCAGGCTAAAGGCAAGATAAGAATTTAAAGCTTAAAGCCAGTTGAGCTTTGGCAGTAAAGAGTTCTATAGGAAGCAGACAAATTTAAAGAGGAATCATACACTACTGTTCTGTTTCAGGAATCTTTTCTTTTTTCGCTGTGTGTCTTTTTAAAGGCAATGTTATCCAGTCACTTAAACATCTAGAGATGATGTATATATCTGAATGTAATATACATTTGCTCTCTATGACCAAGGAATAAACAAATGTGACTTGGGTGAAATCCAGCCAGGGTGCTCCTTAAAGGCAAAGATGATGAAACTTGGTTTCATGTAGTGGGCACGTTGTCTGGAAGGTCCAGTCCTTAGAAAAACACACCAAGTTGGGAAAGTTGGAGAGAGGAAGACCCTCATCAGGATGGAATGACACAGTGACTGCAGTAATGGGACTGAGTACATCACAGATTGTGAAGATAGGGCAGAATAAGGCGAGACTCAGATCTGTTGTTCGTAGTGTTGGTCATCGTAGTCAGCTCATTGGCACTTAAAAAATAATGCACAATACTGAGAAAAGGGCAATAAAAATTTCAGCAATTTTTGGAATTTTGCTTAAAAGACTTAAAAGGAACCAAATTAAATTATTCTTTTCACCTAATCCAATCTCAGTCTTTCACAGCAACACTTTAGTAATTTAGGACTTTGTGTCCAGTTTTTTACTTGTCCTCTGAAGCACTTTGATTTCTTTCTCAGCTAGACATGATTTTATTGGTATTGTCTCAGCACATGGTAGTGCTACATACTGTCCTCTGAGGGCAGCTATTTCAGGATGAAAATTGGGGTTTCAAAAGTAACCATGACTGAAAATTCTTACTCGTTGTGATTAATTATGGAAATGTAACATATGCTGTTGTTTCCACAGGGTCAGCCAGGGCCAGTCGGCCCCCAGGGACACAGCGGCCCCCCAGGATTACAAGGTTTCCCAGGATTGCAGGGCCGAAAAGGCGACAAAGGAGAAAGGGGAGCTCCTGGGATAACAGGCCCAAAAGGAGATGTGGTATGGATGCTTGTCAATATTTCCACTAATTTGGTGAAGGGGTGGGTGTGTTTTGACCTCCATTAAGTTTGTTTGCTTTTGTTCATAGGGAGCAAGAGGCGTTTCTGGATTCCCTGGTGCCGATGGAATTCCGGTGAGATTTTAAAAATACTCGGTGCATTCTACGCATTGAATTTTGACTTACAAAGACAACATTGAACTAGATCTCTCTTTTGTTTAGAACACCCAACTTCTGGGAATGTATAGACATATTTTCTTCCTGGAAACCAGTCAGATACTAGGTGAATTATGCCTTTCATGAACTTTCTTCTGAATTTGGCTTCAGAATCAAGGCTGCTTTGCTAAAACTAGATATTGTTCAGTGGTAAACACTATAGTATTACTCAGATCTGCTCAGCAGACAGCCAGGCCCAAGATTTTATTTAAATGTGAAAACAGCCTGAATATAAAGCCATCCAGCAAAGAAGCTGGAGGCAGTGAGGCCCCGCTGAACATTTGTGCTGCTTCTCAAATTCTTTGTAGTAACCACACAGAAAATGAGAAAGAGAGAAAGCATGCTTTTGTTCATGGGAAAATCTCAAAATGCAATAAAATGTGTTTTTCTAACCTAGTTTACTTCTTGTGGCATTTTAAAAAAATAAATAAACAGAACAGCCTGACTCACAGCCTTCTTCATAGGGATCCCTGGGCATATTTCTCAGGGCCGGCTTCCTGGCCAGACCTCCACATCAGGACCTCTGTTTATCACACATTCCGATCCTCCTCGCATCCTTCTGCTGGTGCAGCTTGAAGACAGCTGCTTCTTCAGGAACCCCACACATATACACAGATGTTTCAGCTCTTAGCCTCCATATACATGCTTCCTTTCACCACAGACACGCACACAGTCACACGCACATGGATGGAGAGAATCTCCTCTGTCTCCAGACTTCACAGGGAGAGCTGTTGCTTGGCAGGAGAAGAGAAGGAAGGGAATGAGTAGAGCATGGCCACAGAAAATCCATCTTTTTTCTTCAGGTCTTCATTTAAGCATTCTAGAAGCATTTTGCAGTAGAGGGGATGATCAGAACAAAAGACTAGGTAGTCATGATCAAGACACGAGTAATATGACTGGTTGTTGTTATGGTGTACTAAGAGTTGGAACCAACCCATTGCTTACCTTACAGTAGATTTTCAGAAGCAATTTATCACACAGGAAGAGATTGCCTGTCATTCTCCCATGGAGCAGTTGGTGGCCTCGAACCATGTGCCTTTGGGATTGCAGTGCAGCTTCTTGCCACTAGGCCACCAAAGCTCAATATGACTGGTGTCATCTGAATTAAGAACTCACACACCAGTTACAACACAACTATGAACATAAAGAAGTAAGAAATTGGCAGAGATTGGCTTTTTCAGTATTTTCCTGAAAACTACCTAGAACAAAACCACCCACTTTCAGACTTTTTTTTAATATATACAGAGTTCTAGGGAGCACTGGTGGCTTAGTAGCAAAACACTGCATTGCAATCCCAAAGGTGTTCGTTCGAAGCCACCAGCTGCAGCACAGGAGAAGGATGGGCAGTCTCCTTCCATGGAATTTACAGCCTCTAAAAACTCACTGCAGTGACCTAGTGCTGCCAACTCAAAGGCAGGCAGTTCAAATCCACCAGATGCTCCACAGGAGAAAGATGATCCTGACATGCAGTTTACAGCCTCTGAAAGTCCACTGGAGGGTCAACTATGAGTCAGTTTCTACTCTGCAGCAATGAGTTTGAGTTCTTTTGAGTTTGGTTAACATATATAACTCTTGGGACCCTTATTCAATCTTATCTTTCAGAAATTGAAATCTGAATTTAAATATAGTGACATTTTAAAGAAGATAAGCTGTAACTAGTCCATAAGCAAACAAAAAACCTTCATTGCTGTCACGTCAAAAATGACTTGAATTTGAGCTGCTGGATTTGAACTACTGGAAGTCGGCAACCTGGATTAGCTTTGGAACTCCCTATGCCAGAATTTTTTCTGCTCCCAGAATTTTTTGTCATAGTTAAATTCCATCTTCAATGACATACTTCTTTAACATCAAAATCCAGTATTTCAGAAATCAGAACGCATTATCTTATGAGAACTTGATTGAGGTGAGCTAAAGAATCTTGGAGCTGCTTAATCACAGAGCTCATTAAGCTAACTTAAATGTCACCTGCCATAGCTAATCAGTTAAAGGCAGCAGAGTTAAGGGACATAAATAATGTTATTTATTTCGAAGTCATCTATGAAAAAGTGGTGTGCAGTAAAATCTTGGTGTTAGGAAGAAAAATAGCTAATTAGATATGGAGCACTGCCAGATGCACTTGCTCAGTATAACAATGTGATGGAAATGTTTCTTGGAATCACAATTTCAAACTAAGAACAGATTTGCATGTAATTTCAAATGCCTTAGATCAATTCTCAGTATGTAAGAGAGCCCAACAACAGGCAGATAATCCAGGGAGAGAATTAAGGGCTCAGAAGCACATTTTAAGCACAAGCATCTCTGAACACTGAGGATGTGGAGCTGAATGCTAGAAAGCTTATTTTCTCAGGCTGAATTTAAAAGATCAAGCTTTGGGAGACCACTTACATCTTTACTTGGATGAATAACAGACATCTAGCTCTAACCTAACAGCTTGAGAGGTTGTGCTCACCAGTTTATGGGAACCATAAACTGATTCACCAGAAGGTGGTTTCCTGGAAAGTCTGCTTATTCTGTGGTCTGATGTCACCAATTCAAAAGCAATTTGTTTGACCCTTCAAAGCAGAGTGATACTCAAATGAAAAGAGAAAGTCTACTTCTTCATTGTATTTTTTAAAAATATCATTTGGGTTACATCAGACTACATAAAGGGCTTTATGCATGCTTGAGAGTGTGTGTGTTTCTCCAGGTAACGTCTAAAAACCGCCCTAAAGGCCTCAGAACCCACTCATGAAAATGTATTTTGTTTATTATTAAGAAAAACAAAATTTAAAAGAAATTGCACAATATTAAAATTTGTGTCTAAAAAACCTATCCTTTAAAGAAAGAACAAAATAGACTTGTAATACCTGACTATACATGATTACACATGATTAGCCCTCTACATCTCCCAGAAATAGACCAGTCGAGCTGAGGAGCCCATAGGTTTCACCTGACACCCTGTAGTTACTAAAAAGATTATATCTATCTCCTACTGCCTCCGCCAGTGCCCCAGATAGCTCAGGATAGCTAACATGCTTTAAGTTTGTACTTCCTATCTAAAAATTCCTATTCCCAAAGACAGAAAATGAGTTCTTCTAAATGTAGCTAAAAACCATTGCTGAATCATCGTAGATGTACCTATGTCCTACCTGTTTAACATGTGAGTCCTTTTTTTAAAACGAACCTTCTAGAATTCACTTGTGCTCAGCTGATAAAGACATACATCCTTGTCTGTGAGAGGAAGTTAGTGGCTTTTGTTGTTTCGTGTTGTCGACTTGCCTTCTGACTCTGAGTGACCCCATAAACAACACGTCAGAACTTGGCCTGATGCTGTGCTGTCCTCAGAGTCCCCATGGTGCTTCAACCCACTGTTACAGTCACTATGTCAGGGATCTTCCTCTCCTTCCCTGACTCCCTGTTTTTCCAAGGACTGGTCTCTCCTGATAACATTCCAGAGGATGTGAGACAAATGAATTCACAGCATCCTTTCCCCTAAGGGATGTACTGGTGACTTATAGCATTTTTTTAAATCTTTTCTTACCTGTCCTAGCGAAAAGGCAGTCCTTCCGTTTTCATGTTGAAGCAAAGCACGAGAAGGAAGAAGCCTCAGATCATTTGCTTCTTAGCAACACCAAAGTGAAACTAAGCTTTGTCTAGAAAGTCTGTCCCCTGCCAAGTACTACACATTTATCTATTCACTCATTCATCCAATTTTAAGATATCTTTTTATCTTAGATTCATGCCATGGATACCTTATAAGGCCATATAAAACTTCTTTAGCATGAAAACTAAATGAAATGGATTAAAATTTTCTTCTCTTTCCCAGGGACATCCAGGGCAAGGTGGACCCAGAGGAAAACCTGGTTATGACGGCTGCAATGGAACAAAAGGAGACGCGGGTCCCCAAGGTCCACCGGGCATTGTAGGAGCTCCTGGATACCCTGTGAGTATGTCAGCAGTCCATAGAGGTCAGTTATGCCTGTTGTCAGCTCCCTTCAGGTTGGCCCAATTTCTGACAACCTTGGGCATAATGGAACAAAACAGTACCCCACCCAGGGTGACCTCCTGATGAGCTGTGGGATCAATCAAATCATACAGTTTTATTGATTGATTTGGGGAAATAGATCAAGCGTTTCTTCCTAGTCCATGTTAGTCAAGCTCTATGGAAACGTGTTCGGCATAGCAGCACTGAGGGACCCCTACTGACAGATAGATGGTGGCTCTACTTAAAGTGCACTGACCAGGGAGCAAGGCCAGGCCTTCTGCAAGGAAGGCAGAAGTTCTTCACTGAGCCACCTCTACCTTTGCCCATTAGTTCTAGAACCTAGAGTCACTGGGTACTGCTCAGTGTAAATGTATAAAGGCTATTCCATCCTAAACTCTATTTCCTAGGAGGAATGAGATTAATGACTCCAGTTTAGCCTAGAAGATAATTTGTTACAGAAAGTTTATGAGAGGAACTATTTTAAAGAGATCTGAAACTTTCTAAAATGGCTATGTTGGGTTAAGAGTGGGGGCAGACAGGCATATAAGTTAATCTGGCATTTTATAACATGAGGGGGGAATAATCTTCCCTCTCATTAGTTAGCAGTCAGAATGGGAGTATGTTGTTGTTGTTGTTGTTACATGTTATAGAGTTGACTACAGCTCATAGCGACCTCATGAACAGTAACATTGAACCCTGCCCTGTCCTGAGCCAGTCTCACTGGTTCTGACGCACCTGACACCACTGCCACAGTCACTGTATCAATCCATCTCACCCAGGGTCTTCCTCTCCTGTGCTGACTCTCCATCCAATCAGGATGTCCTTTCTCCAAGGACTGGTCCCTCCTGGCTACATGCCCAAAACATGTGAGACAAAGCTTCAGAATCCTTGCCTCCAAGGCAGCAACCTGGTTTCACCCTCTTCAGAAAGACCTGTTTGTTTTCTTGGCTTGGATTTTCCTGTGGGCATCAGAGCACAATGTTCCTAGATTCAAATAGCTTAATTTTCTATATTTATTCTTTAAATGTTAGATAGCAAATACTTTATGTGTGTATTGTTCGCCCCGGGTTGTTGTGTCCTGTTGAGTTAATTACAGCTCACAGCTACCCTGGAGAAGAGAGTGGAGCAGCTCCACATGGTTTCTGAGGCTCTAATCTCTGAAGGAGCGGATCCCCAGGTCTTTTCTCTCACAGAGCATCTGGTCAGTCTAAATGACTGACCTTTCTGTTTGCAACTTAATGCTTAATCATTACATTACCAGAACTCATTGTTCACCCTACACTGTCTCCCAGATGTCATGTCATCTTATCTCATATTCCTCCTTAGTTAGTAGTGAATATTATAAGAGTAAAACTATGATTTAAAAATTTAAGCCTTAAACATCTTAGTAACAATCTTCATCAAATTACATGATCTCTTTGTGATAAGAAATCAAAGTTACATTATTCAGTATATACATTGTAGGCGTTTATTTCCTTGTTTAAAATGAAAGCACCTTCATATAATAATCTTCTTTCTAGCCTTATTTATTTAGTAGATTTTTTATGTGGTTTGTATTGAGGGTTTTTGTTAATTTTTTTAAAATTTATTTAATTAGGGACCTCAAGGACCAAAGGGACAGAAAGGTGAACCATATGCATTATCCCAAGAGGACCGTGACAAATACAGGGTAAGCTTGCTGGAGATAGGAATTACAGTTAAACAATTCAGCATCGGTTTTCAGATTAGTGATATAAACTACCAAATGAATTCTAAATTTTGAGGAAGATTGTAATGGAGCTCTGTGTAGAATGGTGAAATAATCCAAAATTATGTTTCATTTAAAACATTTTTATTTTCACTCAGAGTACTTTTACTCTTATCCTTGATTGTGAAAACATGTCTTTCCTATACCTACAATACTCAAGCAAAACACTTAATTAGTATCATAAAATTCTGACTTTGAAAGAAAAAAGAAAATTTTATCACATCTTCCCATTCATAGCTTCTAATCTCCTCAGCCTTTGTTTTTGAGCATGGTGAAAGCTGTCTTTCACAGATTTATGTATGCATTTTGCCTTTCTCTTAATGTTTCCTAGCAGAGAAAACAGATAATTTAAGAGTTGAATATAGGCGAGCTTTGGTGGCCTAGTGCCAAGAAGCTACACTGCAATCCTAGAGGTATGCGGTTCCAATTCACCAGATGCTTTGCTGGAGAAGGAGGAACAATCTCCTCCAGTACCAGTCAAATCTGATTTGATGGTACACACATACACACACAAATGATAAAATTTAAAAAAAGGAACAACTATGAGATATCATTTCACCCGTCAGAACAGCAAAATTTAACAGAACAGCAAGCAACAAATGCTGGCGAGGTTGTGGAGAAACTGGAACCCTTATTCACTGTTGGTGGGAATGTAAAATGGTGCAACCACTGTGGAAGGCGGTATGGCACTTTCTCAAAAAGTTGCAAATAGAGATACCATTTGACCCAGCAATTCCACTACTGGGAATATATCCCAAAGAGACCATAACTGACATCCAAGCAGATATATGCACACCCATGTTTATTGCAGCTCTGTTCACAATTACAAGGAGTTGGAAACAACCCAGGTGCCCATCAACAAACGAATGGGTAGAGAAGCTGTGGTATATTCACACAATGGAATACTATGCTGCATTGAAAAACAAGGAACTAATTCAATATTATTCAAAATGGGTGAGCCTGGAGGACATTATGCTGAGTGAAATATCTCAGTCGCAAAAGGACAAATATTGCATGGTGCCACTGCTGTAAAATGGGACTGATATCAAGGTGGGGGGGGGCGTAAGACTGAGAAAGACTGGATAAATTGTGTATACTGCACTGAAACAGATGAGGGACTGAATAATTTAGAAGCGATGTATGATAGGGTATTATGGTTATCACAAGAGTCCACAATTAAGGTTGCATAGTGGAATGTACTTGGGGCGGTGCGAGGAGTGCGGGGGGATTGTGTATCAGGGAGGGAGTCTTTCTTTTGCTAGAGAGGAGCTAACTGGGGGGGCGGGGGGAGAGGGCTGGGCGGGGAGAGAAGTGCAGCAATGAATGAATGACAATCCAAATTCTCTGTAAATGTTCATTAAAATTATTTAAAAAATTAAATTAAAACACATTAGGCTGCTAGCCAAAAGGCTGGTGATTCAAACCTAAAAAAAAAAAAGAACAACTTCTAAAAAAAAAAGCCTCCTTATGAAGTGTCTGAAACATACACACACAACACACACACACACACACACACACACACACAAGAGTTGAATTTAAAACATAATGATGAAAACATCTTCCACAATATATACTGATCACCAGCTTGCACTTCACCTCCCATAACCCAGCATGCTTAGGTGGCAGTAGATTAAGGTGTAGACTTAAAGATCACATCACATCAGATCCATATTCTTTGTTCATTTTTCAGTCCAGAATGGTGCTCGTTCTTAAGGCTATAAATATATGGTGGGCTAAATGGTGATAAATAGATCATATAGGGAAATTTATTATTATAAGATTGTATTAAAAAGGTCAGACTAAATGTTGAGAGGCCCAGTGGCTCTAATCTTATCTCAGCCACAATTTTACTTGACCTTGGTCCAATCCATTCATTCACCATTATGAATTCAAGTGCCTCATCTATAAAAACATGGACATTGATCAACCCATGTGTCAAATTCAGTGCAGTTCTGCACCTCTACTATTTACATACCTGTTGACTCCTCATTTACATGGAGCTCCCCCAGGGCCTCATTAACCAATGCAGGGAAAATGACAGTCGATAGAAAAAGTGTTCTTCCTTCTTGAGGGCATGCTTGCTGTATGATAATTGCACAGATGTTTATGTTTTAATGTCTTTTTGGCATTTGTCTTCTCCTTATTTAAGTAGGAATTACCTAGAGGAGTTAAACAGGATTTTACTGACCAAAACTTACGTTTACAGTTGTTGTTGTTGTTGTTGTTGTTTAGTGCCGTCGAGTCATAGACGTTTACAGTACTTCCAAATAAATCATTTTAGTAGATTACTATTTAGTAGTAGTATGAATTGATATGCCCCTCCTGAAATGTTTTCTAAGTCACATTTCTGGTTAAGCATCTTCCATAGTCTCCACATTTAAGTTCCGTACATCTGATTTACAAGTCACATTTGTACTTATAAAAGAAAGTTTAAGAGAAACTGTATGTATTGTAACTATCATGTAGACTAGCTTTTTCTCTACTAGGTATTTATTATATATCTAAGTTTCAAGATCTTTTCAATAGAGCCATTTTGGCTACTAAATGTCTTCTAGATCCTAATATAGAGTGTGAAATGTTTTTCCTTTAATTCTCTATAGTTTTTAATGTTTTCTGAAATTAAACTTGAAGATAATAAGTATTCAGAAATTCACATGGATACTGCAATATGCTTAACATTCTATTATTTTCTTAATGCTTATATTAAAAACACGCCTCACTCATTAATTTATCTTTATATACATACTGAAATTATGTCTTCAGATGTACACACACAAAAGCTGTACATTGTAGAAGAGTTACAAAAACATCATGTGTAGCAAATAATCAACATCTGAAAATTTAAAAAGAGAGTAAGAGCTATAGAGTTGATTTGTTCTGTGTGCTGATATCCAAATTGAAATAAAACATGATTAAATCTGAGTTTATTTCAAAGCTATAACTCTTAAAATTATTTCTTCTCAATTAGGGTGAACCTGGAGAGCCTGGTTTGGTTGGTTTCCAGGTAAGTTTCCTTTTTTTCTTTTTTTTTAAGTTTCCTTTTTTATTAACGCGAAACCTTAGGAACTCCAGACCAATCTTCCTTTCCTAAAAATATTCCCTCATTGTGTGTCTACAGGGACCTCCTGGCCGCCCTGGATATGCAGGACCCATGGGTCCAGTTGGAGCTCCAGGGAGACCAGTAAGTACTTGGCACAGTATATTCACTAGTGGACCCTTGTTAGGCTATCCTTTCTGAGTGCAGCTTCCTCAACCCTTAGATAGAAGCAAACATTTTAAAACAAACGTATGCTTCTTACAGTCACTATAGAAAATATCAAGGTAAATGCTTTCCTCTTTGCATACATTTTACTGCTGTTGAGATTGAAGAATGAGGAGTTAAAATGTGTGGCTACCAGGTGGCTGCAACTCTATCAGGCTTTGGCTTGATGCTGGCGGCATGTTCTTCTGTCAAGTGTAAGCACTTCCAGTCCCAGCACTGTCCACCTGGTGGGGACAAAGCAGACCAAAGATCAACAAGTTGGTAAAGGTGAGGGGGAATGAACTGTCACATCACAGCTATGCAGCGACAGTGATAGAAAGTGGACATCACAAAATGCCCCTAGAATCCCCTGGCTGCCTGTCATAGGATGAGTTGTGACAGGACATAACAACTGAATGAAGGTGGAGTGATTACAAAGAGAAGCGAGACTCACTGATGCCTTCACAGCCCTCCCACCACTGCTCAAACCACACACATGGCCTGCGCCAGGAGGAGTTTCCTGACTCTCATTCCCCAAATTTTCTAGTAGTGAGAAAAAGAGTTCTTGAAATTAATTAGGGAAAAATGTTAGCTGAATAAGTGAAAGATCTCATCATTGAAAACAATTTCTTAAGATTGGGAAAATGATGCCTCATATTAACAGATATTGAGAAACAATGAAGACATATTTGTTTGGGAGAATTCCAGTAACTGGTTCTTGTAGTGGTAATATCCATTCAGTTCTTTCAAATAATAATAATGATTTTTTTTCAAGTTTCCCTGATGCTATGAAAGTCATTTTTGCAAGGAGATTTCTAGCCATGAAAGATTTGATGTATTGGACTGAAATGAGAATTCTGTAGTGCTAAAAGTTTGCTCGCCTACTATACAAAATTTTAGGTTTACTCACACATACCACCTGCTTTGAGTTTGCTGGCCTTTAAGTACACAGAATCCTAAGACAAATTATTAGACCCTTTAACTGATCTTAAAGCTTCATGTTCCTCATATGAACCATTAAAATAGCCAACAATCCTCAGCCTGTCCATTTCTTCCCATCTACATCTCTGTTTTCTCCTAATGCATTCCAAAATCCTCTTCTTCTAAGCACGGTGTTGACACTGGATGCTTTACAGAAATGTGCTGATGGACTTTGGCCCTGCAATACTGGCCTCCAGGATTAATTCTGTCACTGAGCATTTGTTGAATCACTACCAAAAAGTGCTAGACAGTGTCCTGTGGGGAATCCCAGAGGAAGGCAGGAGAAACAGTCTCTGCAGTCACAGGGCCTGGGACCTGTGCAGGGATCAGAACAAACACAGAAAGGACATGAGTGAAGTCAGAAGCCCCAACAAAAAGCAAACTAAAACCAGCTGGACATGGACAGCCAGCAAATTCTGAGAACTCTGACCTCTTTTCTTTCTTCCATGTGGCTTTTCATCCCTACGGAAACAGATGAATTCTAAACCTCCATGAGCCGTCTCCATGATGTTTTAAATATACAGTAAATGGCTTTCCCAGAGTTTTCTAGCAGATGTTATCTGGGTCCTGGGCTAAAGAAAACAACTGACGGATTTCTTTGTGTTTGTGTAGGGACCACCTGGACCCCCTGGACCAAAAGGACAGCAAGTAAGTTGATTTGGGGGCGATAAGGGAAAGGGAAGAGGGACTTAGATATTTGTGAAGTATTTCTGTAGCCTTCGTGGCATAGTGTGTGATGTCTTGAGCTGCTGACTGCAAGGTTCCAACCAGTTCCAGTCCCCCAGCTGCTCCAAGAGAGAATGAAGGACAGTCTCCTCTGTAAAGACGTTCAGCCTTGGAAACCTGATGGAGGGCACTATGAGTCAGAGCTGGACCAATAGCAGTATGGGGGGAGAGAGAGAGAAAGCGTGTGTATGTGTGTATTTATTTCTATCTATTGTTCATAGGGTTACTATGAGCCATAGTTGACATGATGGTATCTAACAACAAAAACACAACAATGTTAACCTACAAAGATGAATACTATAAATGTCCAGAGTGTTCAATAATTTATTGCATATGAGTCACTTATAAAATCCCTCTTGTCATATTAAAAAAAAACCTTAATAAAATGTAATGAAAAATTTAAGTTAGGACATTTCAGGAACTACTACTATTTATCCTTGGAAGCAAGGATTCTGAACCTCTCTCTCACATACTTTGGACATGTTGCAAGGAGGGACCAGTCCTTGGAGAGGGACATCATGCTTGGGAGGGTGGAGGGCCAGTGCAGGAGAGGAAGACCCCAGATGAGATGGATTGAGTCAGAGACTAGGCTAACAGGGGTTGGTGTGTCAGAGCAGTGAGGTTGGTTCAGGATAGAGAAGGGTTCAGAGCTGTTGTACAAAGGGTCACTGTGAGTTGCAAGCGACTCGACAGCACGTAACAACAACAATAACAACTATTTATACACCAGTGGTTCTGTGAGAAAAATGATCTGGCAGTTTGTTTCTTGAGATTTCAGCCTATGAATCTTTTCCTAGAAGGCAGTTACATTCTGTAAAATGGTCTTAGGTCAGAATCTACTCATTGTTACAGGACAGTGGTATTTATCCATAGGTGGTAAATTATGAGAATGGAAAATTTGCAGGTACGTTAGTTATAGGGAGCCAGTGAAATTCTTCTTACCTGTGTGTAATTGGTCTCTACAAGGACCTGATGTCAACCTCTGGAAATCATTTCAAAGATATTCTTGTCAGGTTGCAACTTCAGTGGATGTTATTTTCATCAGAGAATGATGATTTAGTTCATTGGAGCACAAGGTGGGTGGCTGTTAGAAGTGGGAGAACAGAAATAGGATTCATTGTGACCTGGTAAAATTGGACAAATGTCCAGAACAAAATGAAGGTGACTAGGGAGGTATTTCATCAAAATTTGACATGAGTTAGAAATACTAGGCTACTGTTATTAAACTTTAAGACCCGTTCCCTTTACCAAGCATCCCAATGGAAGACATTTCCAGTCCTGTGCACTTAAAACGCCGGCTCTGTGTGAAATCCCATTTCTCTGACCTCCTGCTGACCGCTCCTGCCACCCCCAGTGCCTCCCACCCAGGCTCCCATCGTTTCTGACATGGCTTCTGGCCTGAGCTGGAGCCTTTTGATGGCTGCTGCCTCCCTGCTGTCCAGCAGCCTTGAGCAGGATGGGAAAGGATCAGAGCCAAGAGAAGCGGATGTAGGACAGGGCAGCCGGGGCCAAGGCAGAAGCAGCCCAGCTCCCAGCTCAGGCCAGAGCCTCAGATCTCTACTTGCCGCTGCATATACAAACAGCACTCCTCACCTCCTGACCAAGTCATTTCCTGGGGACTTCAACATCCAGCTCAAGAGCCAGAGAATGACCGCAGGGGACGAAAACAAATTGCATTTGACTCTAGCCGGGCTTATGTTCTGAGCTTTGATTTCAACTCCCAACCAGGTGGGAAAGAAGGCAAAAGCAAAAAAATGAATTAAAGGCTTTGCTTTGCTTTTCAGAGAATATCTGGCATATGAGGGGAGCCAGCAGTTTACCATAGAGAGGGAAGGATCAGTTGGAGCTCTGCAAAAGTTTTTAGTCACTATGGGAATAAGGAAACATTGGGAGTTAAAGGAAAGACAAGTACTCTTTCTATAATGTACATCCATTGTAGTCTAACATTTCATAGCTACCTATCTCTCACATCATAGTTGAGCAAATTTTTCTTTATTCCACTCAGAAAACTATTGAATACTTGCTAAGTAGCTGGACTGTGACGTTGCTTCTTGAAGTAAAAGGAACATGAAACAGTTGGATAAAATCCAAATGATGGCCCTTTCTCTAAAGACACAAAAAGAATAGAAAATCTTATGAGAAATTGAAGTTATCATTCCAGAATGAGAAAATGCTGAAGCAGAAGAGAGGCTCTTCTGCTGGAGGGTCAGCTGTTATTGGTCAGTTCTGACTCTATGGTACACAACAACAACAACTTATAAAAGTTTGACAGGAGCAATTTGAGATTATGGGCACTAAGGCTCTTCCCACAGGATTCCAGGGAATAAAAAATGAGCTGTTGTATAAATCTGTAGGGGCCTGAACCATATAGAGGCCGTCTGATGATCACGAGAAAGATTCGTGTTGAAAAACCATGCTCTCCCACTCACTAGCTGTGAGACACTAGTCAAAGGACCTGGCTCTCTGAATTCCACCATCTGCGAACTCGCCGGAACTGAGTGTGTACAAGACAGTAAAAGACGGGAACATTTAGCACAGAACTCACACTGCTATAAATGTTCAGTCATTGGGTGGAATTAATAATGGAGTCAATTTCCTGAGAAATAAAATGTATTTTGGAACGCAAACTGTAACATATTCCCACGAGGTGACAGCATATGTGCTGTTTGTTCACTGCCTTTGAGGTTTTGCGTAGAATATAAATTACTTGACTTATTGAAAGTACATAAGATTTCGGTTCCGGTATGGAAAGAATAAAAGACGCCTTGCTATCGAGTCAGCTCCAGCTATGGTAACTCACGGGACTCTTGAGTGGAGCTATGCTGCAGATAGAAATCCCTAGGCCTTCTTCCAAAACACATCTGGGTGAATTAGAACCTCCAACCATGAGGTAGTGCCCAGCTGTGTTAACTGTTTACACCAGGCAAAGACTCCAGTTAAGAATCACTCATTCACCCTGAGTGCCATGGAGGGCATCCTGACTCCTAGCAACCTTCGGTCACGTTTCCAAGCCTGAGTCACAGTGTAGATTACCCCGTCTTTCTCCCCGGGAGCCACTGGTGGGATCCAGCCTGCGGGTTAGCAGCACAATTTGCTAGGGAACGCGCCCCCAGAGCTCAGTTCAGTGCAAACCCTCCCTGTATTGTGGTCCTGTGAATTGTTTAGACTAGTTTGTGAAGTAAGTGCCCGTAATCTCAAATTGCTCCTGTCAAACGTTTATATGTTGTTGTAGTTGTGTACCATAGAGTCAGAACTGACCAATAATAGCTGACCCTCCAGCAGGTTTTCAGAGGCAGTTAATCACCAGGGGGAGATTGCCCATCCTTCTCCTGTGGAGCAGCTGGAGGCCTTGAACTACATGCCTTTGGGGTTGCAGCGCAGTTTCTTGCCACTAGGCCACCAGAGCTTCCTTTTTATTATGCTGTTACATAGAAAAATAACAAAAAGGAAAAAATTTTCTTTTCCTTGCTAATTGGTTTCTAGGAGGTAAAGCCAAACTATGATGCAGGAATAGTTGTCCCATAATGTTATAGATCCTCAAATTTCTTTTTCTTAAAAAAAAGTTAACAATAATAATAATTCCCTGAGAACTGGTGGCACAGTGGTTAAACATTCAGCTGCTTGAACCCACCAGTTTGAACCTATTAGCCGCTCCCTGGAGAAAAAAAATGTGACACTCTGCTTCCAAAGGCATCATAGTGTGGAACTAGATGGGGCAGTTTCCCTCTCCTAGAGGGTTCGTTTGAGTTAGAATCAACTCAGTGGCAATAGCTTCAGTTGTTTTATTATTATATATAATTTGTATTGACTTACAGAATTATTTTGTCTTTTCAGGGCAACAGAGGACTTGGATTTTATGGGAAAAAGGGTGAAAAGGTAAAAGCAACCCAGTAGATTAAAGCGGAGTCATGCAATGATTAACAATTAGAAAAGAAATCCTTTTAATCACGAAGCTTTATATTGTTGTCTTGAGGCAATATACAAACATAAATTTGCATATGAAAGTAATCATTATAAACTGCCAAGTTATAACACATGTTCCAGTATGGATCAATGGGACAATAAAAAATAAACCATCGACTTGTACAGTGTTCATGGCAGCAGTAGGCAGAAGGTGGAAACAACCCATGTGGCCATTAACAGATGAATTAGGTCAACACAGTGTGGTATCTACATGTCATGGTCTAGTACTACTCAGCTATAAACAGAATGAGGCTCTGACACATGATACAACATGAGTGGACCCTGAAAGCATTAAGACTAAGATCAAATAAGCCAGAGATGGAAGGATAATTAATTATATGATCCTACTTAGACGAAATATTTAGAATAGGCAAATACATAGAAATAAAGTTTACTAGTGGTTCAAAGATAATCTCATAAAGAAGCTGAGGCATGCCATGTTTAACAACTTGAAAATAACCTTAGAGGGAAAAGAATGTAGGAATTGTTGTTTAAGAAGTACTGAGCTTCTATTTACAGTGATGAACAATGTTTGGAAAGGGGTGGTGTTGATGGTCACACAATATGGTGAATAGAATTAAAGACACTGAAAATGGTTAAATGTTAGGTTTTTTATGATATACATTCTACAACAATATTTAAGAAAATAAACCAGTTAGGTTTACAATAGACCTCTTGCATAAAGACCCAACAGAGGCATAGTGAGAGGGGCAGGCAGGGAAGGGCATTTGCTTCTTGATGAAAGTTCAGGGGCACTGTACTGGAGACCAACTGCCACGTCACCCTTGTCCTCACCCTTGGGGGTGACGGAAGCAAATTTAGAAATTCCCCTGAGATTATCCTTGGCTGAGCCTCTGACACATGACTCCAGCTAGTCTCTAGCACATAAAAAGAGAAAGCCCTTTCACCAAGAGTCCCTCCTAATCATGTAAAATTCATAGCGGACTGAAAGAGATTGAAATAAGGACAAAACAAGCACAGAGCCACCTTAGGAATAAGGGCTGTGTCATTTCTGTTGAGCTCAAAGGTAATAAAGATTATGTGACCTTTAAAGGTTCTACAACCCTAAGATTCAGAGACACCATAACTGTTGAGAGGATTATATGACAGAACATGTGTAAAAGACTCAAAATGATACTCAGCATCCACTCAGTATATCACAGCTTTAAAAAAATATCTTCACAAAAGCAAAATCCCATTTCATTCATCAAAAAATCCAGTCATCCGAAGTAAAATAGATTTTGTTCCTTGGCCTCTACTTGAGCATTTTCATTTTGCTTTTTTGTTTACTGGCACACCTAAATAAGCAGAATCAGAATCAAGTACAATTTGGGTGTGAAGAGGAAATATTTTTTTTTTATTCATACCATAGAAGAAATCACAAAAGAAAAATACTAAAAGATTATCGCATATAAAATGTTAACTTCCATAAGATGAAATTTAACAAAATAATAAAATGAGAAGAAGAAACATTTTCGGAAGAAATCATTGCAAGGAGAGGGAGAACAGTTTCATTAGACACATGGAAATAAAATTAAGTTACCCAACTAGAAAGAGCTTATTTGAGTTTTTAATAAAAACATCAAGGCCCAATAAATTAGAGATTAATACATTCATGTAGGTAATTATGAAATACATTTTTAAAAGTGTTCCTTAATATCTCAGACACAAAAGGAAAAATACTGCTTAGTGCCACTGTTGTAAAGTGGGACTGACATCAGGACTGGGGGGAAACTAAGAGGGGACAAATAATGTATACTGCACCGAAACAGATGAGGGAGAGAACTGTTTAGGAGTAGGAGGATTATATGATTAGGTATTATTGTCATTAGATAAGAGTCCAGAATGAAAGTTGCTTAGTGGAATGGACTGGGGGAGGGGAGGAGATTGTATAACAGTGAAAGGTTGGGGTTTTTTTGGTTTTTTGGGGGTTTGTTTTTTTTCCTTTTCAAAGAGAAAAGCGAACTGGGAAAGGAGAGGTAGGCAGGGAGGAGTGTGCAACAGTGAATGAATGGAAATCCAAAGACCCTGTAAACTTTCATGAAAATGAAAAAAAATGTTTCTTGCTAGTTGCAAAACTGCAAGTTAAAGCAATCTTTCATTAAAATGAAAAAAATGGTTCTTGCTAGTTGCAAAAATGCAAGTTAAAGCAATCTTAAAATATTATATGATGAAATGAGATACTCTATTATATTAAAAAAACTATCTGATGAAGTTGTGATGAAACAAGTATTCTTTCTCTCGCAGTGTCTACTGATAAAATTAGTGGAAATGTTAATACATAGTACATAACAGAACAAATAATTTCTTTTTTTTTTTAAGTTTTACTTTATTTATTATTCAGTGTAAATTCCAACAAATAATTTCTATGTATAGAAATTCATCATAATTGGAAATAATCTGGAAGTTCTGTATGAAAGAAATAAGAGGATTTTAATTTTTTTATTTTTTACTTTTTAAAATTGTTTCACTCATACATTTCTTTCCACTCCTGTCCACCTACCCTCAGCCTCCAGTCCCCCTCCCCTTCCCTCTTTGTAGATCAATTCACATCTCACTGGTTATCCTTCTGTTTTTACAATAATGGTCTTACACAGTATTTGTTCTTATGCACCTGAGTTCGTTCACTCAGCATAATACTCTCTAGCCTCTCCTATATATACTCCTATAATACTTTTCAAAGTCATACTTCTGAGTGCTGCATGGTCTTCCATCATGTGAATGTACTACAGTTACTCAATTCAGTCATCTGTTGATGAACATTTCAGCTGTTTCTATGTTCTTGCTATTGTGAATAATGCTGCTATGAAAATCAATGTACAAATGTCTGTATCTCAGTTCTGTTTTACTTGGAGTATATTCCTAGCAGTGAAATATCTGGGTCATATGGAATTTTTACATTCAATTTTTTGAGGACATACCAAACTGCCTTCCAGAGTGACTGTACAATTTTACAATCCCATTGTAGTGTTTGATGAGAGTTCTAATCTCTCCACAGATAAAGGGCTATTTTAAGTCATTCATTCTAAAGAATAATGAAACTAGGATGCAAAAATAGGTCTCTTTTTTACTATTATTCTGCAAAATAGATATATATGTGGTACATATAAATAAAATATATATGTCATTATTGTGTAGAATCCTACTTTTATTAAAATTTTATAGTATCTTTTTCATTTAAAGATGAATGTTTTTCCTAAATAATGCACAGGGTGACATAGGACAACCAGGACCGAATGGAATCCCATCAGACAATGACCAGGCCAGCACTGGGCCCACTAAAGACTTGATTCACCCTGAGCAATATAAGGTAAAGAGGTGTCAGGAGAATTAACTGTGTTCTCAGTTGAACTGTTAAAAAAAGGAAGAATAAAAAAAAAGAATAATCAAGGTAACTTTGCTCAATTTTATTCAGACAATCATATTGCAAATAGCAGAGGCATCCCATAAGAAAATTTCATCCCCAAAGAGGCAAACAGTGACCAAGATTCCAGTCAAATAATTTTCATCAGTCCTTCACCTTAAAGAGTTTTTGAGTTTAAAACAACACTAGTACACTACCAAAATCTGACTCCCAGGGGGTCTTTGTGCACTCTCAGGATAAGAACCTTAAGGTGGGGCAAAGCCAGAGACAAGTTGGATTGAAGCTGAGGTGGAAAAGCACCCTGATGAGATTTCCTTTTCATTTTCTGTAGCTAAGGTTTGGTTCCAGGGCTCAGACAAGACAGCCTGCAGGGGGCAGTCTTGAGCTTCAGGGGTCTTAAGCCCTGTTAAAGGGGGCGCAGGGCAAAGAACCAAGCAAGTCACATTTCTTTCACCATTTTGTAACAAGAAAAGGGAAAATAAATTAACTATACAAATTTGGCATTAGTTTCTAAAGACACTTTTTCTTAATGCATCCCAAATGTACCCTTTTCTCAGAATACTTTCCTAATATTATGTTTATTCAGTCTAATGTAATTAGAATCTCACCCAGGGGCTTCCACTATAAAGATGTTGGTGTATGCCTGCAACAGTAGATTGAAATGTAGACAGAATTTCTGAAAATTCTAGAAAATAATACCTGCTTTATTTATATTGTGACATTTTGGGAGGGGGGCAGGTAGAAAGACAGGTGTGTGGTTTTTTTTTCTTGTGAACTTGATGCGACAAAATTTAGGAAACATTTGTTACTGTTCATTTTAAAAGATTGTCAAAACTGTTAAATATATTTCACCTCATAACCTAAAATCCTGACATATTTTAAATATTATTATTCTGAAATTCTTTTTCATATTCTTCACAGGGTGAAAAAGGAAGTGAGGGGGAACAAGGAAAAATAGTAAGTCAACTAAGAATGTTTCTTATCACTTCACCTCCTTCTTAATGGCCTTTGTATTCTTGGTTGCTCATTCATTCATCTACAGCAGTGCAAGCTTAGCATATATTTTCACATCTTGTTTTCAGAAAGCTGTTTTGTTTTTTTCCCTTTGGCATAATAACCGTTAACTAATCAGTACCTTCAGCAGTCAAGTTGAGTTCCAGGAAAAGATTCTGAGTACTAGTGGCTTAATAGTAAGGAATTACACAGCAAACCCAAAGGCAGTGGGTTTGAATCTCCCACATGGTCTGAGGGAGAAAGATGGTTCTGTGCAATTCACAGCCTCTGAAAACCTGCTGGAGAGTTAGTTGTGAATATATTCCAGCTCAGTGGCACACAACAACAGTGGTTACCTGACGATCACCAGTTATAATGTCTGTACTTAACGTTTATAAATGAACCTAAACTTGTTCAGAGGACAGAAGGACAAAAAGAGAGATACAGGGAGAAAAGGGAAGGATGGAGGAAGGAAAGACTATAGAGTAGAGCGGGCATAGAGATCTGTAGAGATTTTAGGATGTGGCTTCTATTCTGGGTTATAGCTGTAGAATCCTCTCTCCCTCACCTCTAACTCATTAAAATATAGATTATGCTGTGTCCCACCTTCACTCTTTTTGTTCAGTTTAACCACACTGCCTTTTACTAAATAATAATCCAGGCAAGCTCATAGGGTTTCTCTCTAAACTCTGGCTTAAGCCTGTCCTGGAATGTACTATCACCAGAGGTAGTCTTGCCACAGCTAGGATACTAAGTAGAAAGAATTCTGGAGCACTGATGTAATGTTCTCTTTGTTCTATCCTAGGGCATTTCCTTGAAGGGAGAAGAAGGCATCATGGGTTTTCCAGGAACACGGGTAAAATGTGCATTTTATAATTTCAATTTTTAAAGGAGTGTCTCTTTATTTGGAGGACTAAGGAAAGACAGCACAAAAAGTTTTCTGTTTGTGTAAGTTCAGCTAATTTAAGCTGTGATAATCAAACATGAGGAGGTGTTATTGGTTTAATGGTATCAGTCCTGCCTTCTGTACAGGAGACCTGGGTTCAATTCCATCTGCAGCCACTACCTCTTAGTAGTGAAGGCTTGCATGTTGTTATATGATGCTGAACAGATTTTAGTAGGGTTTTCCAGAGTAAGGTACTAGAAATCTGTGGTTTCACAGTAGTACATTTCACAACTTCTCCAGTTGTGCATGAGATCATCGTGAGTTAAGAATACCAAACATAAAAAAAAATAATATCAAATATGTATATTTTCTGAAACACGAGAAATTTCTTACTTGTTGCCCAGAGTTCAACAGAAATACTTTTAGTGGTGAAGGAGGAGGGTCTGCTTCCATGATAACTCAGTCATCTTGTGACTCAACAGACCTCAGAACATACCTACCGTCTAGAAATTTTGACATATAAATACATGGCAAGAACGCACTCCGCTCTGATCTCATTAGCCAGGACTCAGTCACAAGACCAAACTTAACAGCAGAGAAAGTTGGGAAATGTTGATCATGCCTCTGGGCCCAGGAAGACGAAAGAATAGCTATCTGATTGTCACTGCTATTAAAGACATATTGTACAGTCTCCAGAAACAAAAGTAATATTCTTGTTAGAATATTGACATATAGGCCTGTTTATATTTTTACTTTTTTTTTTTTTATTTCTTTGAGTGGTAGAAATAATTTCTTGTATGACAACATGACTAAATTATTTCTCACCTTTAGAAAATAGAAGAGGTTTCCTGGTGTTTTGAAAGCATTTGTAATAATGTAGTTTGGTGATTATAATGGATTTTATTTCCTTTATTCCTCTTCATTATAGTTGTTTATTCTTGGGCTCCCCTTTCAAAATGGAGCATAATTGGTAGTTTGTTACTTTTCTTCAAAATCTGGACTAAGAATTGTTCTATTAGTCCAACAACATTTCATTGTAAACAATGCCAGACATCATTAAAATTCCCTCTGGAAAGTTCTGCTGTGTATTCTGAGCCACTGTTTCTTCTGCCTTCTTTTCAATCCAGGGTGCTGTTGGCTTTAATGGTGAAAAAGGATTGCCAGGCCAGAAAGTAAGTTTGACTCGTGAAACATCGTCTGCTCTGTGTTGCTCCATTTTACACAGATCAAATATAAATGTATCACCCACAGCGTCCCTTTTCAGCAGGAAGTAGCTAAGAGAATACGCCATCCCCTTTTCCTTATGAATCAAGGTGAAGTCTCTCTCAGGGAGGAGTGATAGGGAATGGCAAAGGACACACTGACAAAGGAGATTAATCAGAACTGGCTTTGACAAGCACTGTGGCAATTGGACAATTAAAGCAGACATTGGGGGGGAAAGAAGAATGAACTGGGGAGGAGGGTGGAGAAAACAGTGCAACAATGAATGAATGAAAACCCAAAATCTCTGTAAATGTTCATTAAAACTAATAAAATTTAATAATAATAAAGAAAGAAAAATTATATAAATGTATCACAGAAAAGGAACAATTGCCCCAGGGAAATATATTTAAAACTTGCCTTTCTTTCTTTACAGTAGCATAAATAATCTTCTCAGATAATTCATGACCCTTAGAGAAAATTAGGTAATTGTTTTCCCTGTTCTGGAAGTCAGCCTCTGGTTCTTTCCATCTTTCTTTCCCTCAAGCCCTCTCATCACTTGACCCCGACTTGCCATGGCTTTTATTCTTTCTGTTTTGTTGCTCATATATGTCAAGGTAGTTATTCTTAGGCATCTTGCAGTCCAGAGGCCCACATTTCTTTTTTTCATATTGACTCCGTGGGTTTTGGTATCGGTTTATATTCAGTGATAATGTTATTAATTACTTTGTAATGTGTCTGTGAACATATTTTTTTTACTTTTTTAAAAAATAAGAAAATGTTATGTGAGAATGATGGTGTGAACCTAAATCTAAGTCATACACCATAGATGGAAACAAAGTATACATAGAAATAGGTTTTAGATGATTTTTTTTTTGTTATTCATTGTCCTCACTAATTCAATTTTAGAACACATAGCTCATCTCCTTCCCTTTGGTGACCCTTAACGTATTCCCCAGCATCAACCACTATTGCTGGTTTCTTAGCTGTCATTTGAGATAAGTGCTAACAGAGACCAATCCCAAAGGCACAAGATCTGAATCCACCAGCTGCTTTAAAAGAGAAAGATGGGCAGTTTCCTCCCATGCGAATTACGGCCTCTGTAAACCTGCTGGAGGCTCAGCTCTGAATCACTTCCAACTCAGTGGTACATAATAACAGTATCTTTTCAAATGTATATTATTTAGCACTTGTTTCATTTTGGTTTTTCTACCTAGTATGCCTTGGAGATTATTCTGTATTAGCACTTACAGATCTGCCTTCAGCTAGCAGGTTGCATAAGAACTGCAGTGACTCCAGGTGACTCTTTATTTAATGAAAGTCCTCATAGACACTAGAAACCAAAAACTTGTTAGGCTCTAGTTGCATGCTATTTCAGTTATGCAGCCAGTGTTATGGTAGGCTCTTGGTACTCAGGGGCTAATATTTCCCAAATAATTCCAGCAGGTACATACATACGAGTAGATATTAAAAACTCCAGTTCAGCCTCAATTGTAGCCCCATTGAATCTTCTCCTGGTTCTATGGTAGGATAGTAGCATCTGGAAAATTGTGAAGACATGATTAGGAAGCGTTGCACATTCTGCCATGTTTGTTCTCTGATTACTTGGCCTCTCAGACTCCATTTCTGACTCCTTATGGACTCTAGGCTCATTCTCTATTAGAGTTCAAGTTTGGACCACTTGCAATAGCTCCATTCTTTATTTCTATCTTCAACCACTGTGGATTCCCATACTTGTCCTTTTAATTTCAGGACAGGAACCTTAAGCCAGGCTCTAGATGTTAGTATAGAGACTAAGATAAGGCTGATCCAGGCCATGGTCTTCTCAGTTGTTTGTTATTCATCTGAAAGCTGGACAATGAATAAAGATGACAAAAGAATTGATGCCTTTGAGTTGTGATGCTGGAGAAGAATATTGGCCCTACCATGGACTGCTAAGAGAATAAACAGGTCTGCCCTTGAGGGTGAAACCAGTTTTCTCCTTAGAGGCAAGGATTTTGAAACTCTGTCTCACATAATCTGAGCATGTTGCCAGGAGGAACAGAAAAGGAAGACCCTGGATGAGATGGATTGACACAGGGACTGGGGCAATGGAGTCAGGTGTGTCAGAGACAGTGCGGTTGGTTCAGGAGAGGGCAAGATTCAGAGCCATTGTTCATAGAGTTGCTATGCTCATACCTGATTCAGTGGCACATAACAACAACAACAACCCTAATAGCACCCAGTTTTTCATATTATTATTTATTGAGAGGAGACATCTCCATAGCTATAATATTAAAGGGATAGCTATCCTACCAAAGACAAGAAGGCCAGTTTCTAAGTTTATGGATTATAATAAGTGCTTGTAAAAGGACAGAGGACAGAAGCAACCATTCACATTTAAAAGCACATCAGTAAAGCACAACTCTTAATACTTTCGTTTCTTACTATTTGCTGGCGAAATCATAGTTCATATTCATTTTCTTACACTCAATGCAAAGGAATCGTAGCGTTTTAAAGTTCAGTCCAACACATCTGCTGCCTAGAACTCAGAAGCTAATGAAAGACCACGGGATGCTCGGCGAGGGCTGACCACCTGCTACCTCTGACTGCTGTGGCCCAGATGTTGGAGTTTCAGGCTGACTTCTTGGAGCGTCTTTCTGCAGCTGCAGCAACCTGAGAAGACACAGATAGTTTCTGTAAAGTAGGACATCACAGTTGCTAAGAAGAAATAGTTTACTTGACTATAAAAATAGGAAATGGACAGGACATACACAAATGACTCAGCCATCCTGCTTGTTAATTCCAAATGATGCCGCAGTCATGTCTGTTTTATGTTTTCTTACTTGCCAAGTTGCCATTACCCCCCAGCGACTGTTGAGTCTGACACACAAACTTCGGTTTCATGGTATAAAATGGAACCAGAAACCAAATGCAGCTTCAAGGAGTAACTCTAAACAGTACTGTAAACAATGCATTAAAATTGGATGAAGTGAGAAAGAAAATACATTCTGAGAAAAAGGCACAATCCGCCTCCTGTGAAGTTTACTAGAACTTCTGTTAGTTCTGACCCTTCCTGTATGGGAATAGCAAGTGCCTTTTGCAGACTTAAGGGGCCCTAATGGCATAATGTTTCATATCGCAAGCTGGTAACTAAAAGGTCAGCAGTTCAAATCCACCAGCCGCTCCGCAGGAGAAGGATGGACAGTTTCCTCCTATAGACTTTACAGTCTTGGAAACCTGATGGAGCATCACTATGAGTCAGAATTCACCTGAAGGCTCCAGGGTTGTGGTTTATGATGAAGTGGGCTGCTCCTCAGAAGAAAAAGGAGGCAGTCTGTTCCTATTGAGTTCTGCAGGTTTGGAAATCCACTGTGGGGAAAACATGAGTTAGAATCAACTTGATGGCAGCGGATTTTCATGGCTTTGGTTTGGTTGTGGGTTGTTGGGGGGGGTTTTTTAGTTACATAAAAATGTAAAGATTCTTTGTTTCACCCTTTTCTAGGGTAAATATATTTTATTAACTGAGCAAAAGTTCCAGCAAAGCCCATAACTATAATCTAAAAAGATAAAAAAGAGCAGAAATCTCTTTGAGGACCAAGATGTGCTTGCCCCATCTTACACGACTTTTTAACAAGCAAAGCAAAATAAAAACTACTTCATTGCCATCGAGTCGAATACAACTCATAGCCAATTCTCAAGTGGGATTTGGGAGGCCATAGACTGCAGGGGAAAAGATGGCTCATCTTTCTCCCTCAGAGCTGCTGGTGGATTTGAACCACCAGAGAAGCACCACCATTAGATTAGCAGTGCAACTCCCTATGGATTGCCATCAGGGCTCCAGCCCACCTTTAGACATTGTAATTTTTTTTTCCAGTTGCCTTGTTTTTTTTGAAGGCTGGGCAACGAATCAACAAGACTGAAGAAGAAATGATGGATTTTAATTATGTTGTTGATGAAAAATATTTCATTTACCATGGACTACTGGAAGAAGGCATAATATGTCTTGGAAGAAATAATTACAGACCACATGCTCCTTAGATGAAAGAGCAATGAGACTTAGTCTCACATACTTTGGACAGGTTATCGGGAGGGATCATTTCTTGAAGAAGGACATCATTAAAGGAAAGCAGAAGGTCAACAAAAAGGAGGAAGATTCTCACTGAGATGGATTGACGTTGGCGCTACGGCTGGGGGCTCAAACATAGCAACAATTGTGAGAATGACTCAGGACCAGGCAGCTCCATTTTGTTGCTAAATCAGTACAAACTCGACTGCACTTAACAGCAACAACAATAGTTAAGACAGAGTTTATGAGGACCTGTTCTTTACAAAGATACAAGCTCATCAGCAGCCTCTCTGTTTTCTGCTTGGAAGCTTTCCATATTTCATCACCATCATTTGAACCATACCACACCTCTTCTAATTATCTTATTATTGCCATTTATGTTCAATGAAAAGATTTCATTCTTATCCAAGAATGTTGATTGTAGAAGTTTACCATTGCTTTAGAATGAATTAAAGAAGAGAGGAACCATTTCATCTTGAGGTCTTTTCTTGAAATCTCCTTGATTTCTTTTCCCACATGCTAAATCCCATTTATTTTTCAAACTCGGCTCAGGTTCTCTTATACACATGGTTTGTATAAGATAGAATCTAATGAAAAAAAAAAAGATAGAATCTAATGATGTTTCCACAGGAAGCCCAGAGACCTGTTAAAGTCCATCTTCTAACCCCAGATCTCCCAGGGAGAGAGACCTGGTAAGCTGCTCCTGTAAAGGCTACAGCCTCAAACACCCTGTGGAGTATATTTACTCTGTCCTGCAGAATTGCTCTGAGTTTGAATTGACACAACAACACACAATGACAATGGTGTTCCCTTGACCACTATAATGAAAATAGGATGAACAAGTGAGTAGCAGAAAGATGAAGCAGAAAGATGTTCAAATGGCATAAGACTCTAACTGGTGTTAAGTCTTTTAGAAGTCTGTATTCCTCTAAAAGACTTTAATCATAAGTTCTTTTTATCTGATCATTTCAGCTAGACTCTAAGGATTTCTGCCTAATGATTCTGCATTAGCCTAGTTTTTACCCTTAAAAGAAAAAAAAATGCTTCCACAGTTCAATAATCAGAACTTCTTTTCAAATTCAAGTTTGTGAAATGATATAGTACTCAATATGAAGGGAGGAGAGGCATCTGTTCCTTCAGAGCAGTTATTCATCCCACACTGGAAATTTACCTGACTTCAGTTTCTCCCAGTGATGGGAATCCTTGACCCTCACCTTGGCAGGAGGAGAGGGTTTCTCCAAGTGAGGTCGCAAAGAGCCTCCTGCATCCAGACTGGACCCTTCTAGCTTCCCTCCAAGAAGGGCCTTACATGATCCCCTCTTGATAGGGCTGCTTCCTGGCTTTCCTGCTTCCCTTGATATATCTACAGCTGAGCAAAAGAGGGAGTGTTTATATTATTGTTCTGTCTGGGTTCCAGACTCCTGGGATCCCAGCTGCCAGTATTCTGTGATTGACCCAGAATGCTCATTAATTGTCCACCAACCTACTAAATTATACATAATACTCCATTTTCAGGCCCCTGCCAATTTATCTGCCACTGAGAACTCACAGGGAAACTTTTAGATCTTTGTATTGACTTACTGAGGTTCTTGACTTTGGGGTTGTAGCTGCTGCCAGTCTGAGAGCAATGCTGAGTGCTGTTTCAGTTTTCACCTTGTCCCAATTGGTTTCATTTAATTCCCAGTTAATCCCAGACAATGAGAAATCTTCCAAAAATCTAGGTCCTCTTTTGACCTTTTCAACAGAGGTGATGAGCACTTGGTATTTGGGGCTGCTTGTTTTTGTTCCTTGGTGGTGTCGCAGCGTGACTGAGCAATGCTTGGGTGCCACAGAAGGAAGTGTAGATTCGGCAAATTCCAACGCATTGTTGTGGGAGCTGGGTTGTCACATCAGCTCTGGACACAGCTCAGACTAAAGGCCGAGTTGCCTCTCATCCAGTATTTGGTTCCTTAAGGACTCCTAGCTTATCTCACGTGGTGGTCTCTTAGTCATTTTTTAATATCAAAGATATGAAAGGCTGCTAGACTCTAGGAGTCTTCAATTTTGCCTTCAATTTTGAATCTTCAGCTCCACCTAGTGTGAAAGAAAGCCACAAGCTAAATCATAGGCTCGCAAGGAAAAACACAAAATCATGCCAATTTTAGTTGGTTTTAAACAGTAAGGCTTTCAGCATCCATGTTTCTAGATTTTTTTTAAAAAAACCCTGTAAGATAATCGAATAATGAATATATTTCTACCATTAGCAAATACCATTTTGAATTGTGATGGCCTCATCAAATATACACCTTAACAAGAGGGAATAAATTTCTGGATTGCTAAATAGTTTCACACATCTACCTAGATGTCTTAGGAAATGGTGTATAAGGATAAATGGTCTCTTTCAGTAAGTATTCTAAGGAATTATGTATTAATGATTAGCATTATAGATTTTCCCCCCTTCCTCTCTTTATTCATTGATATTGTGCTAATAACCCCCTTATTGTATCTTGCATTTCCCTTCACCCACCTTAATTTGTGGCTGTTACCTCTTTACTAATTTTTCCTTCCGTCTTCCCATTCTAATCCTCTAAGAATGTTTCTTAACCATTGCCAGATGTTTCTTTTCATATGTAAACTTGTCTTTAACTTTATGAGAATGGATTCCTACAGTGCTGAAATTTTAAAAAATGATGGGGAGAAAAATTTCTGAACCAAATGACTTTAACACTTCTATGTAGTGTCAACTGCAATTTTCCGAATTTATGTTGAGAGAAGATTGTAATGGATGAATCAGCTCCTGCACGTACTGTTCAATCTGAAAAGCACTAAACTGGGCCAAGCAGACATGTGTGCTCTTTGATGGGCTGCAGTGGAAGAGCAAAGCAGCGCCATGAGTAATCCTTGCCAAAAGATGAACTTAAATGTAATGAAGTCTAGCGATCTGATAACTTTCATATCCCACTGTCATCAAGTCAGTCCCGACTTAGAGAGATCCTCCTGTGGGATTCTGACTCTGTAAATCTTTACAGGAGATGCCTGCCCATCCTCCTCCCACAGAACAGATCATGTATTTAAACCACCAGTCTTTCCATTAGCACGGCAACACATAACACACTACACTGCCAGAGATCCTTGTTTGGAGACCTTAACTAGAGAGTTAGACTAATACACCATCACACAGGCTAAAATCTACCAAAATTCAGAATGCCCAATGACAGCACAATAATTTGGTTCTTAAATAACAGCAAAATAATTTTTTTAAGTAGTAAGAAAAGAAAACCATTAGGAATTAAAAGTGACTTTAAGAGAGTGCTGTTAAATTGAGTAAGTGGCAACTAATGTTATAAAACAGAATGTATACAAATTGTTGAATGAAAAAGCTAATTTGCTCTGTAAACTTTCACCCAAACCACAATTTTTAAAAAATAAATTCTCTACCATATATCATGTCATATACAACATACATATCATATACGGCCTTTTTTTGTATCTTGATTCCTCATCTTTAAAAAGGCAAAGATAATAATATTTTATTGAGAAAAACTGAATATAGACTTGGCAGTCAGTGATATCAATGAATTGTTCTCATTTTATTAAATATAATGATGGCATTGTGTCTGTTTTTTATAATTGTTAGCATTGGAATTGATAAATGAACTCTTCGTTGCAGGGCAGCCGAGGATTGGATGGCTACCAAGGCCCTGATGGACCTCGAGGACCCAAGGTGATCTCACATTTTGTTTCGGAAGTTTTTCATTTCTTTTATACAAATAATTTTGTGTTGGAGTGTGTTTGCATCATCTCCCAGCTCCGCTCTATTGGATGGCTTGATTATGATTATCAGCAGTGTTAGACTCTATATGGTAGAAAACACAGTTTCCCAACCATTTCAAGTAGTTTGCAAAGATTTCAGAATCCAATGGAAATGCCTCTGTGTCAGTTTCCAGCTGACTGATGGGCACAATGCCTGGGATTCATCAGTGGCGATTATTCTTTGGGAACAACCTGTGGTTCAATGACTCAAAATAACACATCCACTAAATTAGCTGCATCTTCATAACCAAGATTAAGATTTATTCAGGGGAAATATGCATCTTGGCAAAAACTCTAAAAAGCTGTCTTCATGTTCTTCTGTCTCCCACCTTTTCTCTTCTAGGGAGAAATGGGTGACCAAGGCCCCCCAGGACCACCTGCCTACTCTCCTCATCCTTCCATAGCTAAAGGTTTGTCTACACTGCCTCTTACATGGCTTAGCATTGCTTCATTCTCAGTTTCAGAAAAAGAACCAGGAACATTCAAGAAATATTTTCAAAAGAGAAAAGAAAAGATGTTTAGAGAATAGCATTAGGACAGGCGAAGTTTTGTCTCTCATACTTTGGACATGTTGCTAAGAGAGACTATTCCTTGGAAAGATGGAGAGTCAACTAAAGAGAGGAAAACCCCCAAATAGATAGATAGACACAGTGACCACAGCAATAGACTCAGGCCTGTCAGAGATGATGAGGACTGCACAGAATATGACAAGTCTCAGGTCTGCTGTTCATTGTGTTGCTATGAGTCATACTTGACTCAACAGCAACTTTTACATTCTCTTGTACCACTTCCCTCATGGTCTAAAGTCAGCATCATCGAGACCATCACTTTCCCTCTGCCTGACAAAGAATGCACTACTTTCCAGGGGACCCCTCTCCACTAGGAAATTCTTTCCTTTCTCAATAACATCTGCAGGCTCTATTTTTGCCCTCTGGACTATTGCTCATGAAATGCACTCTTTTAATCCACCGACTTTCAATACCCGCAGTCCCACCTGCCTTCCATCTTTTCTTATCCAAATGAGCCTTCCTCTTCACCATTCCATTTGCTGGTCTGAAGACTAAAAAATCATCCTCACCCTTCCTCTGTAAACAGTCACATCCTTTCAGACTTCAAAGCATCTATACCCTAGATATTCATCGCATGCACTGCCACCCTGGAAGATCCTCCCCATGGCTACAGTTAATCCTCTGAGTGTATGTACAAGATTTTGCATGTTTTGCGACAAATACTCATCTTGGTATTTTTTCTCAGCCTTCCAACTTGATAAGATCATATTGAAATAGAATTCTAATTCTGTGATTAGAGCTCTTCTCTCTGAAGCTTTCTGAATGTAAATCATTGTAAGGTTTAAAAAAATTTTTTTAATACACTGTACTCCTAAGTGTTCATAGGATCTCTATGAGTCACACTTACACATGTCAACAACAACAGTTACTAACTGCAGGGGATTCTGGTAGCTTAGAGGCAAGGAGTTGTGCTGTCAACCCAAAGGCACATGATTTAAATCCACCAGCTTCTCCAAGAGAGAAATGAAGGCAATCTCCTCCGTGCGCATCATCTGCATCAGCAGTTGCTTTCTTAGCATGGCTTGAATAAATTTTTGCATCATCTAGAATTGTAGTTACATATCAGAAGGCAAACTCCAACATCTGACTTATAAATCTTGGCTCATATTCTGTAATACCCATCTCCTTCAGGATTGGTACCATCATCTGTGTATCTTTTGGCATGCTCTAGGAAGAATTCATCTTTCCAGACTCCATGATATCTGGTGATCAGCCTTCTTTTTTTTAATTTTATTTTTTATTATTAATTTTCATCAAAGTTTACAGACTTTGGATTTCCATTCATTCATTGTTCCACTTTTCTCCCTGCCCACCACTCCCCCCCCCAGTTCACTCTTCTCTTTGAAAAGTAAAAGAAAAATTCTTTCATTGTTATACAATCCCTCCACCCAAGTCCACTCCACTGTGCAGTCTTGGTTCTGTACTCCTGTCATGACAATAATACCTAATCACATATCCCTTTTAAACAGTTCTCTCCCTCATCTATTTCAATACAGTATACATAATTTATCCCATCTTTCTCAGTCTCCCCCCAATGCCAATGTCGGTCCCATTTTACAACAGTGGCACTATGCAGTATTTGTCCTTTTGTGACTGAGATGTTTCATTCAGCATAATGTCCTCCAGGGTCACCCGTTTTGAATAATATTGCATGAGTTCCTTCTTTTTCAATGCAACATAGTATTCCATTGTGTGAGTATACCACAGCTTTTCTATCCATTCGTTTGTTGATGGGCACCTAGATTGTTTCCAGCTCTTTGCTATTGTGAACAAAGCCACGATAAACATGGGTGTGCTTATATCTTCTTGGGTGGCACTTATGGTCTCTTTGGAGTATATTCCCAGTAGTGGAATTTCTGGGTCAAATGGTATTTCTATTTGCACATTTTTGAGAAAGTGCCATACTGCCTTCCATGATCAGACTTCTTTAGCTAAATCATTCACATTAATATATTTCAATCCTGATCTTGAGGCAAGCTCTTTGCGTAGCATGTTTTTTCTAACCCCTGGTGTACCTGCCACCGCCTTCAGCGCTATATGGCCATGTACCCAGACCAGAGAGCAAGATGTCCAGTTGCAGCATGGTCCCCACTGCAATGGCTCCCAGTGCATCCAAGGATAGGGATTTTAGCTTCTGTTGTTCACTGCTGTACCCCTAATTCCTGTGACAGTGCTAGGCACTTTCTAAGGGCTCAGTAGCTAAATGCTTGAATGACTAAATGATGTAAATGTTAACAGATAGGTATTTTAAGTGTAAATTTTTTAAAAATCATTGACAATGTTCTAGTGCTTTACTCCTGCATCCAGATGGCCTGCTCTGCCTCACCGCTGTCATGCATGTCCAGGAGTCGAGTACTCATTTTCCAGTTTAGGTGTGAATTCTTTATTGATTCACTAGCTGCTTCTGTGTGTCTCCATCCAACACTGATGAAAACGTTCTCCAGAAAAGGCTGCAAACAAACGTTGCAATCCCGGGGGACTTCTCTCTGCTCTCTGGTTTGACATTGAACCATTAAACAGTATATTTTGAAGTCTCTGCTCAAAAAGCTGCAGATCCACCTAGCTGAGGAGGGAACATTTCATTTTCTTATCCTTGACATCCAAAGTGTCTGTCAGCCCAGAAACCTTACTTGAAAGGAACATGAGGTTGGTTTGACTTGACTCATAATTAGTGATAGCGAGGTTTTGGGAACATGAGCTTTTAAATTAACATTGGCAGAGTCTCTAGCTTTTAAATTAACATTGGCGGAGTCTCTTCTGCATTTTTAAAAAATGTCACCAAGGGAGCACTTAGAATTCATTTAGTTCTGCACACTGAAATCTTGGAAACCAGACTGAGAAAATGAATCTTTGTTGAAAGTTGGGTTTTGCCCATGTGTAAATTCAGAAACACTGCTGTTGCCCATTTTGCTACTTGACAACTTTCCTGCATTTTCAATGAGCTCAGTTGTTAACAGACTGGCCTCCTTGGGATTTAAAGTCAAAGGTTGACTAATGAGCAGCTTTTTTTCAGGGAAAAGATAAATAGAAGCTTGACATTTACAGAGTCACATTGCTGGAGCTTGTCAGAGTGGAACAGGGTCAAGGAGGGGAGCTATGTCTTCAAAGAAATGAGTCCCAATTTATTAAAATAAAGATCACCTTGCTAGTCTTCCAACTAAGTGGACAGACCTATCACTATGCATTTTACCCCTTTTTATTTCATTATCATCTTGCCTGGTGTTTATATAGTGCTTTCTACGTGCCAGGCAATGGCCCAAGTTGTTCCATTTGCATTTGTCAATATATTAACTCCTTCCAAAAACCTCAAGAGGAAGATAATAATATTCACCTCATTTTACTGATGATGATGATGATGATGATGTTGATGTTGTTATGTGCCATCAAGTCACCTGCGACTCATAGCAACCCTATGTACAAAGTCCTAAACCCTGCTCTGTCCTGTGCCAGCCTCACTGTCTCCAACACACCCACCCCCATTACCCCAGTAGAAAAACTAAAAGTTAAGTCATTTGGCAAAGGTCATATAGGTCATAAATGAAAGGACAAGGTTTAGACGCAAGCTTTGTGGTTTTAGAGTCCATTCCACCAGCTACTGGAATACCCTGCCCAACAGCAGCATGAGTACAAGGAAGTCACATTTGCAGTTCTTTCCATTTGCCATTCAAGCATGATGTACAACAAGTCCTCCTGCTTTGTGTTAAGAAATTTGGGGGAGGGCTTAAGAACACATGCAGAGTGGTCTCTTTCCCAAAAATCACTTACAGGCTGTCCCCTGGGTGTGAACAATTCCCTTTCCTAACTGGCTTTAAAAATGTGTGGGTAAGGTATGCAAATTCACTGCTGTCCCAAGCCTCCATTGGAGTTCCAAGGATATAAATCACACAGGAGGAAATCATTCATCTTCCTCTCTCAGAACTGTTCTCCCTCCAATAAGGCACATACGATTCTTGTTCATCCTTCCTTCTAAATAAGGACAGGAATATCCTTACTCTGTATAAACCTAGTGGGTATGGCATTGCACTGCCAACCCAACGGCAAGAGTTTTAATCCACTAGCTGTTCCTCATGCTCTCTTACTGTGTGATTTGCAGCCTCTGAAAATTAGTTGGAGGGTCAGAAATGAGTTTATTTCAACAATAGGGCAATGAGTGAGATTTGTTTTGGTTTTGGGTTTTTTTAATAGAAAAATAGTTCAATGCCTTACAGCTCAGGATTTCTTATAATACTGAAATAAGTCATAATATTTCTTCTCTTCTTTCTCAAATATATTGTTATTGTTGTTGTTATTGTTATTGCTATTGGTCAAGTCGAGCACGATTCATAGCGACGCTGTGAACAAAAGACCTGGAGCTTTTCTATAACTATAAACATTTATCAAAGTTCATAGAGGTCCACACAGTGGTGTGTTGCTGATCACCCAGCACTTAGCATTTATTTAGAGAATATGTTTGTAAGCACCTTCGTATTACTCAGTGAACCAACAGTTATTAAAGGCTTAAATAGGTACAGAGCTGAATCTGTGAGGAAGAAGAGATGAACGCTCTTCTCCGATTCCGTGATTCCTAGGGAGGTGCCAAGTGAGTGGTTTTTAAAAAAAAAAACGAGTGCTGCAATCCTGAATGCATGTGGTTTGAATCCACCAGCTGCTCCACAGGAGGAGAATGGGCAGTCCCTTGTGCAATTAGCTGCCTCTGAAAACCCGCTGGAGGGTCAGCTCTGGGTCGGTTCCAACTCGATGGTACTCAGCACCAACAGTTGTCTTGGAGTGACCTCTGATTCATAGTGACTCCGTGATTTCAGAGTAGATCTGGTTTTGATAAATGTTGCAGCGGCCAGGTTTTCAGAAGTGAATCACCTGGCCTTTCTTCTGTGGCACATCTGGCTACCCTCAGTCCTCCACATTTTGTGTTAGAAGTTGAGTGCGTTTAACTATTTGCACCACTAAGGCTCCTAGACATTTCACTTCCCTCTTTATTCTTGCTTTTTGATCCACCTACTTAATTTTAACCTGCATTTCCACTCGTACTTTTCTACCTGTACCCCCAGCACTCCAGCCAAATCTTGCTAAGGTTTTCCCGGCTCTGTGGTTTAGCTGTTTGAGTGCCTTCTGCTCTTCATACCTCATCTGTCATCTCTGACAAATCCTATCCCTGTCTAATGTTCAACGTTGAGGTGGCTTTCTCCATGAACCCTGAATGACCATGGGCAAGTCATTGTACCTCTGTGAGACCATGTTCCTCATTTGTAAAATTTGGATTATATCTTATTTATCTCTTGGAGACTCATGAATATTAAATATATGTATTTAACATTGAGCCTGCCAGACATGGAATATTCTGTGAAATCTTACCCACTTTTATTATCTCTATTCCCTAATATCCCTCAATCTAAATTCTTTTATTCCACAGTCAACAGCAATATTCCCAATATTTTAATCCACTTTGTATCTTTTTAGAAGGAGCCTTAGTGGCATAGTTGGCATATAGTGTTTTTAACCAGAAGGTAGGTAGTGCTGGTTCCTCAGCTTCTCTGTAGGAGAAAGATGAGACAGTCTGCTCTCATCAAGACTTAGAGCTGTGGAAACTTGATGGAGGGTCAGTTCAAGTCAGAATTCACTTGAAGGCAACTGATTTTAGGGTGTTGGGGGTGTCTTTTTTGACATTCTGTGCCCTGTATTATTTTATTTATAGGAATCTTGCAACACCCGTAACTGACCACAAATGAAACTTGAAGTCAAAGACCACCATATATTAAACATTGTAAAGCCCCTTTCATGTGTCACACAGTACACAGTGTGTTTGATTAATTTATTTTCAGTGAAAAAAGTAAGTATCTACTATGATACACTGACAACTGTGATTTATCATTATTGTGGGGTCTGCTTTTGGTTCCCAGGTGCTAGAGGTGATCCAGGATTTTCAGGAGATCAGGGGGAACCAGGATTCCGGGGTGAACCAGGAGACCCTGGCCCACCAGGACCCCCAGGCATATCCACTGGAGATGAAGGTAATATATTTTCATATCTGATCTAAAGCCAAAAGTACATAGACTCAAGTCTAAACAAGAACCACAGAGGTCTCTGTAGATGTTCATTGAAATTAAAAATAAACAACCTAAATTTAAAAAAAAAAAAAAGAACCACAGAGGTGTTCCTGATTGCATAGACTATGTTTGAGTTTGGCTTTTTCCCATAGACTAGACTTGCCAAGCTCAAATATATCATAAATACATTTTTGGAGCTGTCTTCACAGAACCGTTGTACATACCATTCTACCTAGATGATACCATTGATGTGTAACTAGCCTGATCCCATTGGGTGTTAGGAAGAGCAAAAGGAACCATCAAATGTTGTTTTCAAGCACTGGCAACAATGATCAGGCAGTAAAGGATCTACAATTAGGGATCAAGGAGAAGTGCTTTTTTAAAGTTTAAAATGTAGGTAAGGAGATGGTGGAAGGATGAATGGAAACCAGAATCACAGAGAGGGAGCAGTAAGAGTGATGACACCATGTGGGCATGGTAATCAATGTTATATCAAACAGTATATTTGAATTGTTAAATGGAGTACCAGTCTGCTCTGTAAATGTTTGCTCAAGTATCAATAAAAAATAAAATTGGAGAAATGAAGAAAAAAAATGTATTTAACATTGACATCCATCCCCTTAGTTATTTGTTGAATTGTAAAATTGCACCAGCCTGGATGGTGGTCTCCGACAACTGTGAATGCAAACGTAACATACATATAAGAAGCTGCTTGGAAGAACTTACAGGGCTCATATTGCTATTGGACTTGCAGCTACAGGGAGAGGCTTACCAGGTGAAATGGGACCCAAAGGCTACGTGGGAGAACCAGGCATCCCTGCATTGTACCATGGGCCACCTGGAATTGATGGAAGGCCAGGCCTCCAAGGACCTCCTGGACCCCCCGGCCCACCTGGACCAGATGGTAAGTGCATGGCAGCTTCCAAGAAGGTGCATTTCAGTGTTCAGATAAAGAAGCTTAGCACCAGCTGAATATTCATTGTGGATTTTCTGCTAAATAAGTTCCTGACATAATCCAGTAGGCTAGTGAATTATTCATTATGGCTTATGTTCTCTGGGGTCAAAACAGAAAAAGTGGTCATGGAGGAAGCACAAAACCTTGCAAAAGTCTTGAGTGTCAGCATGTCCACATATCACATGATCGTACATGGTAAGTGAGGTTTGACTTCAGTGAAGGCAGCCCTTTAACAGAGCACCTGAGGGTTTACATCCAGAAACAGATCTAAATGGAGGCAGGCAGCCACCCCAGTGTCTGTGTAATAGATTCCACACACCTCCATCTATGATGGAGGTCTTACACCTTCACTCACCCTCACTCTGTTTTATGAACTCTTGAATAGGTGGATTCATCTTCCTTCTCAGTCATCTGCAGAGCCAAAGCTCCAACTTAACAAGACAATACTTGATGACAAGAAGAGATGTCTGTGCACTGGCAGAAGATGGCCAGGCAGAGATAAAATCTAGAAACCAGACAAGCATAATAGTCAGAGCTCATTCGCTCCTCCCAAGGGCATCCCTGAATCAGAGCACAAAATGTTACTTCCAATTTATAATGTTAAAATAATAGTTGAGAATGCTCTGTTTAAGGAGGCAGAGAAAAGTACAATATTGCTTTGAGTCTGCCCTCAAAAAAAAATAAATAAATAAATAAAAAAGAAAGAAAAGAAAGGTTATTTCTTCAGACATTAGACCTTAAAGCATTAGGTTTTAGACATTGTAAGATCTCCAAAGGGAGCATTTCAGCCCTTCAGGAGAGTGGATAAATGAAACACTAGAAGAAAATATGAGGTCACACAATCTCTTTGTATTTGATAGTAACCAAAATTTAGTATCCTCTTCTTTTTAAAATTTTTTGCTTTAAATTTTATAACATCACAACAATTACTCTTCTTACAGCTTCCAATATTAAGGAAGAAAAATCATCATATAGTTAAAGATTAAATCCCAGTGTTCACTCTTTAGCTGCTTTTGGAAAATTACTCCTTTTTCCCCCCTCCATCTCTAAAAGTAAAATAGGGAGTTCTAGGACCTGTGGGTAAAAAGTTGTGGTGCCAACCCAAAGGCAGGTGGTTCTAAGCTTCTCTACAGGAGAAAAATGGACATTCTCCTCCCACCATGCAGTTCAGAACCTCCAAAAGTCACTGGAGGGTTAGTAATGAGTTGGTTCTGACTTGACAGCTACAAGCAATATGAGCCACCAAAAGTGAAATCATTAGAGGAATTAGAAGCACAGTTCTACATACTCCTTCTATTTGAAGACTCAACATCCACTTCTCTCATTTTTTTAATTCTAAATAAAATATTTAAGTTCTGCTTGACCAGTTGTCTTTCAACTAGAAAAACTAGAGTCCTATATGTTCATGGGGGGACAGAGAATTAAGATCCAGATATTTCCCTGGATCAGGAATGTCCCAGACAGTTTAAGCAGCATTATCTTTCCTATTAGCTTGAAGGTAATACTTATTTACTGTAACATCTGTGAGAAAAGCTAGAAATAGGTGTGAACTTCTGTTTGATAAATTCTGTACACCTTCTGTGTGTATTAAGTATTTTCTAAATGTTCTATTTGTTGAGTTTTCCCTTTTTAGCAATAGCCCATCTTACGTTAAAAATTGGAAGTATAAAAATAACCCTCTCATGGGACTAACATTTGAAACTAACTTAGTCATCTTTCCTACACCTAAATTCTGTTTTGATAAAGACACATACTATCTTGTTTTAGTCTATGGCTTACTAACCTAAGTCTTGTGCAGACAAGTAAATGGTTATTTCTGATCCATATAGCAAACTGATATGGAAATATGTGAAACAGATAACATGACATCAGATAAGTTTTATCAACTAAAAGTTTTTAAAAGCATGTGACAGTAGTTCTCTGTGTCGAGGAGGATAAGGGTGGCGCAGGATAGAACAGAGTTCAGATGTGATGTTCTTAGGGTCACTGAGTCATACTCAACAGCACTTAACAGCAGCGATCTTATGAGGCATATCATTTCCAAATCATATATATTTAAAACAGTCTTCTGGACAAAAGCAACCAAGCATAATGGCCTTTTAAACATTCCTATACAAGGTCATAATTTAATATTGGTGACCTTGATGATTCTCACAGAGTTCTTCAACTTTCCCCCTGGAATTATATCATTGGATTACGTTCTTGTTAATTGCATTTCACCCTCTTTCTTGTGTTATTATTGATAAAAATCAGAATTTTCACTATTTTCAGTTCCAGAAAAATCAAACCATGAAGTCAGTTTTATTTCAGGGTGAAATGTTTTGCTTATTCATATTTTTATCTCAGTCAGCTGAACCGAATATTGGAGCAGCTCCATTCTGTTCTAGAAGTTTTTAAAAAGGAAAAAAATAAAGCTTCTAGGTTTATTAGGACCGTTTTCCTCTTTATGAAAATAATGTTGAAGACATTTTAAGAGATATATCACTACCTTTTTATAAAGCTTGTTTGGTATTAATATATGTTTTAAAAAAGGAGACATGACACAGGATATGAGAAAGGATGTTAAGATGGCCAGTTGTGATTTTTAAAAAAAAACAAAACAAAACCAAGTTTCAAAGTATTGAACGCCTAACCTATAGCACCCATAATCTCTTTGTCCTTAGAGTTGTGTCTCAAATATAAAACGCTGACATCACTGACGCATGCAACCAACTGGTTGCATTTACTTGACCCCAGTTAGGGAGCACTTGGTGGCCTAGTAGTAAAGGACTGTGCCACAGTCCTGAAGGCCATCGATTCAAATAGTCCAGCTGCTCTGTGGGAAGAAGATAGTGCAATTTACTGCCTCTGAAAACCTGCCAGGAGGTCAGTTATGGGTCAGTTCTGACTCAGTGGTATACAACATCAGCATGATACGCCCAGGCATAGGTTTTCAGTGGCTGATGTAGGATCCAACCAAGGCTTTCGTCAAAGATGCCGCTTGTTGGACTTGAGCTTCCACCTTTCCTGTTGGCATCCAGGTGTTTGCCTCACCCAGTGACCCACGGTTAAATAACTCACCCTGAGGTAGCATATTTCACATTAAATACTGAGAGAGCACGAAGAGGTAAAAATTAAGTCTACAAAGTCCATCACTTAGCTGAAATTGCTTTTGACCTGGTCAGCAGTGAACCCTATGGTACCAAATCCTAGGGCTGCCATCTTGTTTTCATCAACAACCTTTCTCTGGCCTAGAAAGCTGTTGGCCATCCCCTCTTCTAAAAACTGTCTTCTCTTGGCTTTCATAGCATTTCACTGCTTCTCTTCTCCCTATTTGGAGTTCCTGTGCTAGTATTTCCTACTTTCCTATGTCTTTTCCCATTTATTTAATATAGTAATCATTTCAAACAAGTCCTTTGAAATAGTAGTATGTCTCTGAAAGGTTTTAGACATGATTTTCAAAAAGAGGACATTGATTAGTTAGTGAACTAAATTAAGGAGTGACTGGCATAGAAACTGTATTTATAGTCATGTATAGGGATGAGTTTACCTAAGAAAAGATAGTCCACAATTAAACTTGAAAGAGACTCAAGACTGACTGACTGGTTAATTGTTATTGTTGTTATTGTTGTATACCACGAAGTCAGAACCTACTGGTATCTGATCCTCCAGTGTGTTTTCAGAGACAGTAAATTGCACAGAAGAGATTGCCCATCTTTCTTCCTTAATATAGCTGGTGGATTCGAACCGTGTAGCTTTAGGTTGGCAACACAATTTCTTAAGACTAAGCCACCAGAACCACATGAATGAAGGAATAAAGAAAAAAGGAAATACTAGAGCAGGAACCCCAAATCAGGGGAATGGATGACTGCATTCTGGGCTGGTCGATTTGGAAATACAGTGTTTGAATTTGTTCGAAGAATTTTTTTATTTGACTTATGGAGTTTATGATCACTCGGTTTAGCACTGAGGAAAAGGAAAGAGCGTGCTACAGAGACATTTGGATTTTTGTAAACCAGCCAGAGTGTTTGTTCCCTGGACATGTGCAACCCTGTGTTTAACACAAGATGGCACTCTTCTCGAGTGTGATGTCAAGAATTTTGTTGCCTTGTAAAATGCACTTTCACCTCAGTGTATACCTGCTCAAAATTGTTGGAACACTGAAGACAGGGCAGGACTTTTGAAGTACCCTGAACCTTGGTAGTAGAGAGGTTGGATATGGAGATTTGGAGGAGGAAGAAAATCCCCTGAAATTTGCCCTTTGAATCCAGCTCCTTCACATGTTCACTGTTAATTATGTTAATTCTCTGTGTATGTGAGGCAACAGTGATGGCATAATACATAAGGAGTTGTGCTACTTACACAAAGGCATTGTCTCGCTGGCAGTTCAAATCCCCCAGCAACTCATTGGGAGAAAGTGAGGCATTCACTTCTCATGTAATTTACAGCCTTAGAAAACCCAGTGGAGAGTCAGCTTTGAGTCAGTTCTGACACAACAACAGGGGGTTTTTGGTTACGTGTGTGTTTGTGCATATGTGTGCACACAAAGACCTCAGCGTTCAGGTATGAGGAAGACATACGTATGTGTGTACATATTGCAGATGAAGGACAGAAAAAGGAATGGGTTGTTCTAATCTCTCAGATTCCCCCCCCCTTTGGGGGGCATTAAAAAAATGAATGGTAGTCTTAGAATCCAAGTCTTTAGTACATCAACAAAGTATATGATTAAAAGATTAACACTTTTCTTTGGATTCAACTTTTTTCAAAAAGAAAGAGTTTTCTCTCCAGAATTTAGCAGTAAAACTAATGAATTCTTAAATTTCTTTGCAATCCTGAAAGCTTTGACCACCAGATAATCCAGGCGTCTTTAGAAAGTACTTGGGAATGGATTTGAAGTTGCTGGGTCATTCTATCTGGGACACTTGGCTGGAAAAATAGGGTTTTCCCGCAAGTCAATATGTCTGGTGAGATATTGAGTCTCTCCACGGTTTGCTAATTTTCCTTTCCTTGTGAATTTCTTTTTCAGGTTACCTTTTTGGGCTTAAAGGAAGAACTGGAGAAGCAGGTTACCCTGGGGTTTCTGGCGTCCCAGGAGCTCGTGGACAGAAAGGATGGAAAGGTAAGAAATGTGGGGAAACTTGAGGTGTGGAGGTGGGAAATGCCTAGACCTTTCTAATAGACGGTTAAATCTGTTCTCCTTTTCATCTTTTTCTACAATCAAATTGACTTTCCATTTCTATACCAGCCTCCTTTCTCCTCTGGATATCACACTATAAATATTATTAGATGCCATCAAGTCACCTCCAACTCATAGAGGCTAAAGTACAACCATAAGGAGCCACACCCCGTCCTATGCCATCTTCACGGTCTCTGTGGCACTCGAGCCCCACGATGCAGACATCGTAGCCATCCATCTCCTTAAGGGTTTTTCTTTGTCTCACTGATGCTCTGCTTCCAAGTCCCTCTTGATGAAGTTAGCACGGTCTGTGCTTCTCAGAAGCACCCTGACTGCGTTCCTGACACAGCTTTGTTTTTCTAGTGCTCAACTTTAGTTCACCTTTTTCTGTTAAGCCACGTTTATGAACAGTTTTCTAGGACGTAGAGAGCCTAATGCTAGGCAAAAAAAGATTATTTTGCGATCTTTTTTCTAGAATAATCATTCGATTGTTTTTCAGATGGAATTAGGACGATTCATCTGAAGGAATCAGCTTTAAGACAATATTAGCAGATGTTTGTAAAGGGCTCTGTCCAGTGCAAAGTGCTTGCATTTTAGCCCTCTCATTTGAGCCTGTCAGTCCCTCTCTGAGTTAGATATTCTGGTAGAAGGCAAAGAGACTGAGACTCAGAGGAGTAAAGTGATTTGCCCAGGGACTCACTCCCAGTCAGTGGGAGAGGTGATATTAAAGCCATTCTGTTCTTACACTTGACATCCTATACTCTGACATTATACTGACCTCAAGGATGCCCCCTTGAGGCCATCTATCCTGACCTCGTCTGGTTCACTGGTGCCTCCATGTGGTAAGCTGTCTGCTGCCACTGTGACCTTTGCAGTCCTTTAATGGATAGTGACCCACTGGGAATTGGATGAAGATTTTCCTATTAATGAGCTACATAATTCAGCCACACCCTATTGTGATATATGCCCCAGGGGATAGGAGTTTGTAGTGTTTTCTTGGCTTCTTTCCTTCCTCATTCACAGCCTGACAGCAATAGCAGGGCAGAAGAATGTAATTCTTCCTTACTCACTCACAACCTCACTGCCATGGTTCTGGCAATGGCTGCTTACCTCCAAGCCTGTGACTCCCACCAGGTAGCGGAGCCTCCACACTCCCCTTCACATCTCTGGTTTCTACTGGACTCTTGTAATTCTGTATCTCTCTTTGCCCCAGGATCAGCAAAGTCAACAGCTTCCGGCTGCTCATTGTCACTGCCTTCCTCAGCGTTCGTTGTTCATCTCCTAGATTCTGCCCATACCTCTGTGGTGTTGTCATGTATCATTAAGTTGGAACCAACTTTTAGCTGACTCTCCAGCAAGATTTTAGAGGCTGTAAATCACGTGGGAGGACATTGCCCATCTTTCTTTCTCCTGCCTAACAGGTGGTGGATTTGAACCACATGCCTGTGGATTTGCAGAGCAAATCTACTAGATCATCCTCGTACCTCTGTGGATCTCATTTTTCAAAGAATCCTCAGTAAACATCTCACTAGAATCTATCATTGATAACTTGGATAGCCTCATTTTCTTCATCTTAGAAATGGGCATACTAATCCCTGCCACAGAATCTTGTGAGGAGCTTAGTAGGTAATGTATATAGAGTGCCTGTCACACCACAGATGTTTAATCAGTGTTGTTTTTGCCTCATCACAGCCCACTCGACACTGTCTTGTGTTTCTATCTGCTGTAGTCTAAGGAAAGACTAATCAATGCTTCCTGAATAACATGGTTCCTCTCCCTCCATCATGTTGCAGGTGAGGCTGGGGACTGCAGATGCGAAGGTCAGTTCTTCGGAGGTCTTCCGGGACTGCCAGGAGCCAAGGGTTTCCCAGGTGCCGCAGGAGAACCTGGCAGGAAAGGAGAGCAAGGCGACCAGGGCCAGCACGGCCTTCCTGGCTTCCCAGGGTTCAAGGTGAGAGAATGCGGTCTTCTAGTTGTCAATTTCATCACAAGGACTTCCTTAATTATTATTCCAGGGAGCTCTGGGATAAGAAGCTCTAGAGGTAAAAAGCCACGCTGCAACCCTGAAGGCCCTTGGTTCGAATCCACCAGCTGCTTTGCAGGATGAAGATGGGAAATTTCCTCCTGTGTGATTAAATTGCCTCTGAAAACCCACTTGAGGGTCAGCTATGAGTCCATTCCCACTTGATGGTACACAGTAATACTAATATACACTAAGGTGGCAAATTTTATGACATGAATTACTTAAAAAGAAGCCTGTTAGAATTATGAATGTAAAGCACATTACTTATTGAAAATTCACCTCTTCAAGCTTGGTTTAGAACTGATTTCACTTTTTATGAAGGCTTCCTTCACTCCTTAAAAAGCAAGACCGCAGAGTACATCCTAAATTTCCTTTGTATGAATGTATGAAATTCTGGCCCATGGACCCCTGCACAGATGAGTCCAGTGGCCTGGATTTCATATTGTATGAAAAGATCAACAGAAGTATGTCTGACTCCCTTAGCAAGTGACTTCAAAGCAAATTTTCAAATTATGAATAGAAATTTTTTTTCTTCCTTTCAGTGGAACAAAAAGAACTGCAAAAAGGTTATAAAATGAGAAGTCTATCATGGTATACCTTCAACAATAGGGAGAAATTTTTTTGCTGAAGATGAGGAGAACAGCTAGCTTGACTTTGTGACACAGAACTGCAGGCATGGACAGAGCTGCTGGGGCAGAGGGTATTGCGCTTGAAATTGGTTTATGGCCCAAGACCTTCATAGGTGAAAATGAAGTCCAAAGCACCTCACTGCTCTGTGCCCTATGATTTCTCAGAAAACAACTAGGAAAAGGGGAGGGGGGGGGAAGTCACTTCTATGTTTGATCTGGCTTTACAAAAAGATACCATGTCCAAACCAAAGCTGTCTAAGCATAGATGAGCTGCTCAAGAATTCAGAAAAAGTGTGTGCAGTGATTATAAACTTACTCTTGGGATCAGTGGCTCTCTGGTGGTCCAGTCCATTAGAAATCTCACCACTAACTCAAGGTGGCACCTCCCTGGGGGTTCGAATCCACCAGCAGCTCCATGGGAGAGATAGAGAATATCCTCCCATGAGATTTTCAGCCTCAGAAACCCCATGGAGGGCCAGCTGCGTGTCAGTTCCGACACAACAGAAATGGAAAAGAAAACAGTTGTTTATGAATTGACTAAACATCTTCAAGAAGCCAGGTGAGTTCCATTTTGTACCTGGAATATCTAAAAGCTCCCAGGCCAGATGTTTTCTCCAGTTGTGTTGCACACTCTGAGGGTGTTTTTATTCACGTACCTTAGTATGTCTGTTACTTTACATTTAGATGAGATGATTATATGTCTGGAAGCCCTACTGCAAGTAGGAACTCCTAAGACTACTTTCTTGATATTTGCACTGATATAGTAGAGCATGTGTTGTAAGTATGGGAATCGGCCAGTAACTGAGTGCATTCTTTTATCCTCCTATTTACCCAACACATATTTACTGAGTGTTGTTGAGGTGTGAGAGAGTGTGTAGGATGCTGTCTTAGATACTGAAAGAATGTGTCACCCTTTTCAGCAAAGAGCCAAATCAGTAAATCTGTGGAATATTATAGGAAAAATGAATTTGTAATCCATTGTAACATTCTACCTTTTGGAATATGTAAGATTCCTTTGGAACATGTAATATAAACATATTTTGGAATATGTAACATTCTTCTTATTCTTGAAAATAACAGCTTCTAGTATAAGCCAAGAACTAGCTTCTTATGCCTAGTAAAATATAATCCTGAACCATTAATCTGTTCATCAAAAGAACTACACTAGGCTTTACAGTCTAAAAGCTGGGTGTCTGTATGATATATATTCCCAAGTGTTTTCCCCTCAATATCAGCTTGAGGACTAGCTGTCATTTATATCATTATTATTTATTGTTCTCAATATTAAATGGTGATAAATTATTATCTCTTATGCTTACTTGGTTTATTTTCACCTGCTTGAATTCTAAATAACTCTAAATAGTAGTTAGTAAGCTTGTGTTTTAGATTAATGCTTCTCAAACCTTAATGTGTATGTGACTCCCTGGGAACTTTGTTAAAATGCAGTTTCTGACTCGGTTGACTTGGAGTGGAGCATTTTTCACACGCCTCCAGGTGCTAGTTCATGGATCTTACTTTGAGTAACCAAGTTCTAGGTTTGCAGTGTCCAATACTGGAGCCACAGGTAGCATGGTCTGTGGCAAATTGTGCTGCAAACCCAAAGTCCACGAGTCAACAGCAGTTTGAATCTACCAGCAAGTCTGTGGGAGAAACACGGACAGTCTCCTCCCATTGCAATTTACAGCCTTAGAAACCTGATAGAAGGTTATTACGAGTCAGAACCGACTCAGTGTAGGAAGCTGTAATTTGAGTACCACATATGACTATTTAAATTTAAAGTTTCATTAACTATAAACTCCTCATTGTTGAATCAGAATTGATTCCTAGCTGCCTGTGAATCACATGGGAGGAGATTGTCCATCTTTCTTCTGAGATGCAGGCAGTAGATCTGAACCACCAGAGAGGTGTGGCCTGTGGATTAGCCGTGCAACTCCGTCTGGACTGTACCACCAGAAGGTTTAAAATTCCTTTCCTACACCCTGTTGTCCACATTTGAGGTGCTCACTAGCCTTGCTGTGGTTGCTGTGTTGGACTGGGCATCACAGATACGGGCCATTTGCAGCATTGTGGAGAATTCTTTGGGCAGTAATTGTGCTAGGTAATAGGGAGCACTGGTAGGCTAGTTCAAAAGAAGTTGTACAGTTAAGTTGTACTGCAAAAACCGTGTCACTCCAGCAATTCAAACGTGCTGGGAGAAAGACGGCCAGTTTCCTCCCATGCGATTTACAACCTCAGTAACCCAGTGGTGGGTGAGCTGTGAATCAGTTCAGAGAGAGAGTGCTAGGTGATAAGGAAATGAACTCAGGCTCTGTAAGCTGACATTCATCTCCTTTCCTCTCAACTACTCAGATGTCTTGAACAGTGTAAAGGAAGAAGGGGGAAAAATGTCTTTATTTCCACAGGGAGCCCCTGGTGACATTGGACCTCCTGGGCCCAAAGGAATAAAAGGAGATTCTAGAGCCATTACAACCAAAGGTCAGTTTTTGGTGGGTTTTGTTGTGGGGTTTTTTTTTTTGGGGGGGGGGGGTTGGTGTTTTTTTTAATGGCTGTGCAATCCTTGGACTATATAATCTGCTTGTAATTAATAGTTAGCAAGCTTGTATTTTCAGATCAATGTTTCTAGACAAACCGTTTTTCTGTTACCATGCCAGGGAAATTCTCTCTCCTTTCCCTTGAGTTAATAGATTCCCACTATAAATTTCTTTCCAGGTGACAAGGGACAGCCAGGTATCCCAGGTATGCCTGGGATGAAAGGTGATGACGGTATCCCAGGGCGCAGTGGACTCGATGGGTTTCCAGGCCTTCCAGGTCCTCCTGTGAGTAGCTGCCAATGGCAGCACTAACTTCGCTCTCTCATCTTGATAACCCATGTTCTACAAGGATAGAAGAAATTGGTGTAGGCAATGATGTACAATTACATATTTGTAATAAACAAATTCCAAAGCTTAACGTAGGGAAGTCTGTTAACTAAAATCTAATAGGAAGTCAAGAGATGTAACCATTACGATAAGATCTGTTGTTGTTAAATCACAGAAACTCTGTGATTACATATTAAAGTCTTCCTGCACCATCCTCACAATCTCTGCCGTGCTCAGACCCTTTATTGCAGCCCTGATGTAGTGCATCCTTGAGGGTCTCCCTCTCTTACCCTCGGCTTTTCTCAGCATGATGTTCTTTTCCAAGAGCTGATCCTTCCTGACAACATGCCCACAGTGTGTGAAATGAAGATTCACTATACTTACCCATATGGAGCACAATGGGTCTCCTTTCTTCAAGACAGACCTTTTTTGTTCTTCGGTTAGTCCAGGAGATATTCAGTATTCTTCTCCAACATCACAATTCAGTTCTTCTTCAGTCTTCTGTTTGTCTATCTCCCAACCTTAACTCTACTGTCATGCTTTTCCCAAGAATAGTCCTGGGGGTCTGTGGTTTTCTTTTGTAAATATTCAAAAATATTATTTCTAACAACTTTTTTGTTCAAGTTCCCAGAATAAACCTCTATAAGTTCTGCCTCCTCTTCCGAGCTTCACACCTAAATTGCCTTTGCCAGTTTATTTGCCTCATGCCCCAACTTGGATCTTTTGTTTCTTTAATGTTGGTGACTTCTATTCTAACACTGACATTTAAGCCCACTTTTCTTGGACTCTTAAAGAAAAAAATCCTTAGACTGTTAATAATGTCATGAAATTTCAGCAGTAACATTAACAAGCATTTTCAACAATAATTCAGTTGACACAGTTGCATTGTCACATTGTTCCTTAAACTGTGACTGTTAAATTCTATCTAAAGGAGGGGAAATCTCCTCCCGTACCAGTCAGATCCAATTTGACGGTACACACAAAAAATAATAAAATAATTTAAAAAAAAAATTCTATCTAAAATGTTCACTTGTGAATTGGGTGAAGTCCTGGAAATTACTCCTTTGACAGATAACGAAATAAGACAGAGCTGTAGGGTAATTTAGGGGTTTTGTCAGTACTAAACTAAAGGTCCCTTTCTGAGGGACAGAAGACTTAGTCTTAACCTTGCTGGCAGCTCCACTATGCCAGTGTCGTCCAGATGAAGACATCAGGGATGTACCTGTAGTGAACAGAGTTTGGTGTATTGATTGATTTTCAGGAAGAAGTAATGGACGCCATGAGAAAACATAGGTCAACTCAGTAAAAAGTTTCAGGAACATCCTAGAATAGTGATTTGTGTTTAGGTGAATTTACCTGGGAAGGGTTCAGAGATCCAGGCTTTGCTGCATTGGATGTTGTCAGAAGGCAAGCATAAATCCATGGCTGGGTATCATAATAAATCTTATCTATAAGACTGAATGAATAAAGTGGGGCCAAAACTCTTAATTAGTAAAGAACTGTCAGTCACATATATCAGTCTGAATAGGAGGTAGAATGGTCACGTCTGTTGTTTAAACAGTGTTCATGTTTCTGCCTGCTTAGACATCAATATGTAGTGGTGTTTTTGTAGTTTGTCTTCTGGGTTTTTTATTTGTTTTTTACAGTGGTGCTTTGTTCTTGGTCTTCTTGACTCATCACAGTTACAGAAGATCCTTGACTTATATTATTTTGAAGAATTGTTTCTATTCAATAGGAAAACACTACAGCCTCGCTGCGAGTGGCCAGCTAGCTCCTAGCAACACTAAGGACTGGCTGGTAGCCCCAGACTACTTCCTGGCTATTGTTGATTCTCAAAGAAAGTTATTATACCCACAGCTTCTCACTCTCAGATGAGTGTCTTGTTCCACAATTCAAACTGCATTCTTTGCTTACTGTTTACCTTTAACTAACGGAACATAAGTATCTGCCTTGAAGACGCTTGGTACTTGAATACGTCCCAGAAGAGTCCCTATTCTTCATCACCATCATCAACTGGCTCAATGTTGTGCCTTCCTCCAATGAGATCCCTGCAGCAATCCTGTGAAATGGGGTGCCATTTCTATCCAGGCAGTACTCAGGAGGGTAAAATTTAGGGGTGCATGTGATCTAATCAAGGTCATACACATATAAAAGGGCTTGATTCTGAATCCAGTGATGCCCCACTCTCCCTCCCCACTGTCTTCTGTTTTATGGCTTAAAATTAGTGCCTTTGCAAATGAAAGAAAAGTCATTTCAAGTAAAGAACACGGTTTCATTTTTTATAAGCCTTTGTCTAATTGTTATCAGATTATCCCTGCTCCCTTCAGTGCATTTGCCAGATTGCCTGAGACTTATTTCCATGGCTACTTTACTGGCTTGTTCCATTTTTGCCTTTTCTCTTTGTTCAGATATGCTCACAGTGAAGCAGAGGTCTATAGTTTGTACCCATGCAAAATCATTCTTTCTGATCCCTCCAATTCTTCCTGTCTCCCGCCATCTCCTGTTTTCCTCACTAATAAGCATTTATTCCCTTTTGTCTCTGCTAACTACTTCTCAGCTTCACATTCTGATGCTATAATCTCTCCTTCTAATGAGTGTACCACTCTTCCTTTCTCTAGTGTCAGAGTTCAGATCTCCTTTTCCTTTGGTAACTTGTCAGCCTCTGTGAATAGTAGCTATGTCACATACACTAAATCGTAATGACAGTGACAACAATATGTTCTTCTTATCTTCTGTCTAAATCTTTACCTTACCTGTCCTCATCTGGAATTACTTTTGTGGATGAAGCTCCAAACTGATGCAGGGAAGTTAGTGGCTAGGAAAGTGAAAGATAAATACATGCTCAAATAGACATTTCTGTCTTCCAGGCTCATCCTTATTATGTTGCTCATGATTGTTATAAAACTTGTCAGTTATTTTTGTTGCTTGGTTAGACTATGACTAAAGGCCCCATTAGTCTCTGCTGGTTTTCTAGATCCCTGTTCATCCCACTGGGAAGCTCTAGTGGCCTAGTCTGGAGGGAGGAGCACGCCTAACCCAGAGCTCACTTCTCTCTGGAGGACAGTGCCCACCAGTAGCCAGCAAGAGAGAAATCTCCTCTCAGGAGAGTTACAGCCTCAGGAACCCAGGAATGACTCAGCTGTCAGTTGGTTCTATCTCAATGGCAATGAGATTGAGTTTTATGTTTAACTTCCTTCCATTTTCCACAGAAAGTTCGTGGAGATGAGAACAGGAAAATGGGAACTATTACCGTATTTTTTAATTTGTATATATTTTAATAAAGAAACCCAATTTTTCCATAGGGTGATGGCATCAGAGGCCCCACAGGAGATGCTGGCTATCCAGGTGTACCTGGAACGAAAGGAATTCCAGGAGAAGTGGGTCCTCCAGGATTAGGATTACCAGGCCCAAAAGGTGAACGAGGTTTCCCCGGAGATGTTGGACTACCTGGCCCACCAGGTTTCCCCGGTCCTCCTGGCATCCCCGGCACTCCAGGACAAATAGGTATGGAAGGATTTGTTTCTTGTTTCCTACAAAGCCGTTCAGACACTGTTTAGTGCTTCTGTATCCGCTGCTCTACTTTGGCAATGAATAAAGTCCCCAGTGGAGTCAGATGACAGTGTGGTGGTTTCATCTGTTCTCAGTACATATACTTAATTACCCAACCATGGGGTTTCCTGTGCCTATCACTAGCCTCCTCTCACCATTGACATGAAGGGCACTTCTCCCTCCAGGACTGAAATTATGCAAGCCGGAAAGAGAAGTTCAGAAATGGGTCTTAAGTTTGACTGCCATTCCCAGCCTTCCCAGCACAGCTCATACACACACAAACACACACACACACACACACACACACACACACACACACACACGAATCTATTGATAAGTTAGTAACATGAAGTTGTTCCAAAATTGCCTCTCTTTTTATTGTGTCTTTCTCCTAGATTGTGATACAGATGTGAAAAGGCCCATTGGAAGTGTCGGACAAGACGTCATCCCGCCAGGTACTATACCGGACACTTGGTGGCTCTAAAATTCTTTAAGCATTTGCTTTATAAATTATGCAATTCATCAGCAACTGCCTATTCAGCTCCTGCAGTATGTCTAGAACCTTAGTCGTCACTCAGAACTCATTGTCATTTAATCAGAACCTCTCATCCCTCTCCCATGGAGCAGCTGGTGGATTTGAAGCACTGATCTTTCAGTTAGCAAGGCAGCACACAACACACCAAGCCACCAGAGTGCCTTTCATAACATCAACAAAGTACAATTTGCAGTTGTTTTGATAATACTGAACATTGTACGTTGTCTATTGCATTAGCATAAAGCTGTCCAAACTTTGGCTCCAGAGTTGTCCCAAGGGATGAGCCTCACCCGGATTCTCAGGCAAATAGACAAGAGGTATCCCAAAGGAAAGAGTCCTCTTGCTTACAAGAGGACTTTTTAGACAAAAGTCAACTAACAAAATACTCCTGTTTAAATGCTAGCACTCTCAGCCATACCAACCAGAAATGACTGCAGCCCTCATTTAATTCTGTGTTCAAAGCAGCTAATTGCTGTGGTTAATTCTTTTTTTTTTATTATTAAATTTTATTAGTTTCAATGAACATTCACAGGGATTCTGGGCTTTCACTCCTTCATTGCCGCACCATTCTCTCCACCCTCCTCCCCAGTTTGCTCTTCTTCCCTGCCATCCGAGTGTCTG